CCCATATTCAAAGCATATATAGGAGTCTTGAAATGCCACTGACAGGCTCTATACAACTTGTTGGAAATGTTAATACAGTATTTAGTGCTTGGAAAACTAAGCAAAACACATTGGTAGACACATCAGAGCCAGTCAACCTTCCCCTGCCCTCTGAAACGTTCACATCTACCACTTACTTTCTTTCCATGAGAATTCCAGTCATTATTGGCAAGAACTTGTCGTAACGAATGTAACCTGTTGGTTCCTCTTCCTCCATATCTGCTAGAAGATCATGCAGTTCACCTTCACTTGGACAACATCCAAGAGAACGGATAATCGTCCCAACTTCACGAACATCTACAGTTTTGTTACTTTCATGATCAAAAATGTCAAAAGCATCGCTAATTTTCTTCTGGATTTCAGCCAATAATGACTCTATATTTTTAAAAGAAAGACATCAGAATTAACTATATAATTTATATAGACCTAAACCATACACATAAAAAAATTAAAATAATCCCACACCAACCCTGTAAGTCCACCCTATACACACTAATAAAACAGGAAGTGTACATTTTCTTCATACTTTAAAGTATTTTAATTGCGCGGATGATACCTCAAAAACTAGCTAAAATTTGCGTGAAAAATTGCTAGGAAAATAGGCGCGCACAATCATGACTACTGCATAATACATTGTTTGTATATTATTAAGATAATAGGTCAAAGCCTGATTTTTGGCAAAATCTGCGGAAATCAGCCCTCATTTTCTAAAATGTGCGAATGTATTTTCAGGCCTAATTTTTCATGTGGAGGGTATATTTTCCGCACAGGCCTTACTTTACAGTCTAGAGGCAGTGTACATTTGATTTTGAGTCAGAAAGATAATAAATCAAAACAGCAATAACCAACATGGCAGTGAACAAAAATAAGAAGTACCAAAATGGCAACGGCTAGGGCACATAGAAAAAATTGTTAGATTATTACTCCCACCTGCGTCAAAAATTTGAGAAATATGATCCGGGAATAACCAAAAAAATTTTTTTGTCGCGTCATTTATTTCAACAGCTTAAAAAAACAATGCAATTTCGTGACTGAAAATACATTTTCTTTACAAAACAATAAAATTAAACCAGTTTTTATACAATATTTATAATATTCCTGCCAAATAAAAACAGTCCTTCCCTCATCAATAATAATAATTAAAAAAAAAAAATACAGTATTCTATTGTTACTTTAAAAAAAAAATTAAAAAAAAAAATTAACCACTCTCATCACTTTAAAAAAAAAGTGATATGAAATATGAAATAATTTTTTTCTATGTGCCCTTATATAAAAATAAATGCCAATTTAAATAGGCCTACGCTTAAATCACATGCAAGAAAACTTTGAACTTATGAATATTGTCTGTGTAATAAAGCTTTACAATTGTAATTTAAATTTAATTTTGTTTTATTCATCATTTTTTTGAATTTAAACATGAAATTAATATGTATGAAAACTTTGAATGTACGAAGATTTTACAACATGAGGCCCTTATTATTATTACTTACGTAGACCAGCTTTTCGGTCTGCGTAAACAAAGTTTTACACTTTACTTTTTAGAATTTATTGATATCCTTGTACCTTAATATGGAGATAGAAAATAGGATGCCAAAAAACATGTCCAAGCCCAAGCAAGGCTAGCTACCCATTCCCTAGCGCCTCATCCTCCGTCAACAACAATCGTGTAGGCCTTACTAGGTTAGGCCTACCAGACTAGCCTAGCCTACCGGCCCTAGCTAGCTAGGGCCTAACCTAGCTAGCCTAGACCTAGCTAGGACTAGGAGGAAGAAGGAGAACTCATCGATCGAGTCAGCACTTGATTGATGATCAAAATAACAATAATAGGTAGGCCTAGGCCTAGTCCTACATTGCTTTATGCCTAAACATTTTCTGTGATAATAATATAGATTTCCAAATACTTTTTTATGCTTAGCTAACATACCAGCACTCTCTTTCTCATCTGCTTGAGCTGCCATCGCCTTGATTTGTTTTTTTTTTTAAATTTTTTTTAATGTTGTTGCCAAGGTTGTGGAGATATATTCGGGCATCTTTAATAAAAATCACTCTCAGAGCCCATAACAGTTCGTTTCATTTTTGCGAAAATAGTGTTGCACACACTTTTCACTGAAATTACTAACTCAAGGGTTAAATATCAGCAAGCGCCATTTGTAGCAATGATTTCTATTGGTCAATTTTCTATTAATTTTCCGAAAGCCACTTCATGGACCAATAGGAAAGAAGCACTATCATGAAGCTTACCCACGCTATAATTCTCCTCCATTTTTGTTTTTGGTTTGGTGAGTGCGGGACGGAAACACGTCTGAATAAGATTCATTTTTGTGCTTTCCAATTTGTTGTTGATATTTTAAATCAACACTTATATATTCTATAATACTTGTAGGTTAAGGTGGAATCAAAATCAACTTCTTAACAAGATGAGTGATATTGAACCAGCTAAGATGAAAGTCGCAGAGCTTCGTGCTGAATTGCAGTCGCGTGGTCTGGATAGCAAGGGAGTCAAAGCTGTCCTTGTCCAGCGCTTGAACGACTCGCTTAGCGAAGAGAGTCAAGAAAACGAACCCGATGGAGGTGAACCTGAAATTGCCGAGGAAGCTACTGAAGATGAGCCTCCTTTGGAAGCCGAGGTTGATCAGGAGGAAGATGAAGAAGTCGGCGAAGAAGAGCCACTACCAGAAGAAGAAGAAGCTGCTGCTGCAGAGGTAGGCCTACCTAGGTCTAGGAGATTTTTTTTTAATTTTCAATGAACTTATTGTTAGAGGCCTAGTTTTTTTGTTTTTTTTACTGTGACAAAAGTATAATGAATTGTCCAGTCTATTTATTGAATGAAATGATTTTAGTTTATTAAGAATGATTTTATTCATACCACATGTGACAAAACAACTGTTTTTGTAAAGAATGGAGATGATGCTGTTGAACAGGAACCAGAACCAATGGAAGAGCAAGCTTCAGAAGTAAAAGAGGAAGAAGCCACGGCAGATGATGCTGAAGTTAAAGATGATGCTGAAGTTAAAGATGATACTGAAGTTAAAGAAGATACTGAAGTTAAAGAAGAGGGCGATGATACAACCACAAAAGTAGAAGAAAAGAAAGAAGGTGATGATGTGGAAATGAAGGAGCCAGTATCTGCTGATGGTGAAAAACCTGCAGAAGGTATATTCTGTTGCTCAGTTTTAGATTTTTTAGTCTCTGTATTAAAATCTAAAGTACACTTCACAATTTCAATTAAAATATTAAATTATTGCTTATTTAAAAAGATCATAAAAACATAAGTGTTTTGAACCTTAGAGATAGGCAAATTGATATGTTTGCTCACTGTGATTTTTATCTGTTTCAGGCGAGAACAAAGAAGAATCAAAAGGCATAAAGAGAGAGCGAGATGGTGAGGATATCCATCGAGGAGGTCGACGAGACAGATCCGACCGAAGAAGAAGGTAAAAAAACCCATGAAAGTTTTCTGGTATATAGCATATTATATGTGTACAGTCCAGTTATGAATGAAAACAAATGACTGATTTTTGCACTTAACCAAACTTGTTGGGGGGCATTTAAATTTCTCATTCCTAATTTAACACATTCAATTATCCCATTGTGGTTTGTTATATTTTATTTGTTTTGTAATTAACTCTGTAATAATTATTAAATAATTAATATTTTAAAAAAATTTGCGGCTTGACTTCGATTGGTAGGTCTCGATCAAGAACACCACCTCCACCACCACCAGAAGAGGAAGATGATGGCATCCCAGAAACTGAATGTGTAACAAGCAAATGTAAGTAACTCGATTGCAAACGTAATAATGTCAGTAAATTGTCGCCACCAGACGCCACAGAAATAATAGTTTAGTTTTTGTAATTAAAATGAAGGCACAGATTTGGAATGAGAAAATGATTTTGTACATTTTTTGTATCAAAAATTTTCAAAGTATTTTTGTAGTAGAAGATCTGTAGAACAGGTTTCCTGTCAATGTGAAAGTATTTTAACGTTTGTTACATTTGTTGTGATTCTGACGGCAAGCTTATCGTAAGAAATAAATACTGACTTCTTAAGTTGACAGGGAACTGGCCTTAAATTATTGATAATCAGTATATCATAATAATGCAATTGAAAGTTAATTTCAAGTTGGATCCTTTAATATTTTAATTGAATTTTCATTACATGTTTTTATTAGCGTTATTATACATGAAGGTATAAATATATTTTGCAAAAACTTAATTAGTTAATTCAATAATTAACCCATAGCTGTAAAGATGATACTTATGTATGAAAAACACATTTTTGTTTCAGATATATCAGATTTAAATTTAAAGATAGCAAAGGATGGTTACTCCTTTTTCCCATTGACAAATGAAGGTTTTGCCTACCTATGGGCAGGTGCCAAAGCAACTCATGGTGTAACAAAGGGCAAAGTCTTTTTTGAAGTCAAGGTATGCAAACTGATTTAATTTGGTGTAGTTAGAACATTACATATTGTATTTAATGACACACCTGTTGTCATTAAATTGCTGTCTTACCAGCAGGTTACTTTTAGCTATGATATTCCTAATCTTCATGTTAAAATTTGCCTTTCAGTTGACAGAGCATTTGGATGTAAAACATTTGCCACCTGAAGAGACGAGCAGGAATGTAGCTCGAATTGGATGGTCGATAGACAACACATCCCTTCAACTAGGTAAGTTTTTAAACTTGATTAGTCCCTTATTTTACAGAAGTGTAAGATGCTTATTATCATGTCGTGTTGTAGGCCAGTCTGATATTGTTTGCAAAGAAGGCAGTTTGGTATACTAGGCTAGTCTGGTGTACGCTAGACCAGTTTAGTGTATGTTGGCTGGCATGGTTCAAGACATCTCAGGCCGGGATGGCATATGCTAAACGAGCTTGGTTATAGGTAGTCCTATCAGGTTTAAGCTAGGCATATCTGGTTTATGCTAACCATATCTGGTTTATACTAAACCAGTCTACCATATGTATTGTAATCCAGTGATGAAAGTACACTCCAGTTCTGCAACTGAATGAATGTGTTGTTAACCCTTTACCAAACTTTCTGAGGATATTCAATATTGAATAATGCATAGTTACCAACCTGAGAGATTTAAAGATTTGAAGTGATGTTATATGAATTTCAGAGTAATGTACACAAAATTGAAATATATTGATGATTAATTATTATATTATTGTTATTTGAAGGCGAGGAGGCATTCTCCTATGGATATGGTGGTACAGCAAAAATCTCCACAAAGTGCAAGTTCACAAATTATGGTGAGACGTTCGGAGAAGGAGATGTGATTGGTACTTGCCTGGTATGTTTTAAGCAATAAAAAAAAACCAATTCATAATTAAGAAGTGAATAATGGCATGATATAGAAAACAAATATTTCTAAACTAAATATGTTTACTTCTTGGTGGTTATCAATAGGAACTTTTTAAAATCTTGTTATAATTTATTAATCATAGAACTTCTAAAGAGACCATAAATATTTACAGTGTGATCTGTACAAAGCTGTATTTTTATTGTTTTGAAGGATTTTACTGGCGAGAAGCCAACTATTTCATACACCAAAAATGGAACCGACCTTGGGGTAGCCTTCACTATTGAAGATGACCTTGGTGAGCAGGCCCTGTTCCCCAGTATCTTGGTAAAGAACACAGCTGCAGAAATCAACTATGGCCAGAAGGTAAATAATAATGATTATATAGTTTTCTATGTTATAAACATGATAAATTTAAAGTGCGTATACAGTGTAATTGCCCCAAAATTTCAGGCCTAAAAAAATATAAAAACTATATAAATATCCAGTGATGAAAGTACACTCCAGTTCTGCAACTGAATTACTGAGATGTTAACCCTTTACCAAACTTTCTGAGGATAGAAAGCAAATATAATAATATAGTTAATATGCCAAAACAATCCATGTTCTGCAAGATAAGGTTCTTTAGTCATGCAATCCTATATTTAAATCTTGACTACTGTAGACAAGCCTAACTGCGTATTTTGTTGGATTGGGAACATCAAAGTAGATACTACTTCTATATGAAATAATTCAGAATCCACCTAAAGTAACTTTTTGTTATTTGCAGGAGGAACCATTCTTCACACCACCTGAAGGTAGCACTTTCATTGGTCAGTTAGATCTAGAAGACCGAGTGCGAGGACCCCTTCCACCTGCTACAAGGAAAGATTGCGAGGTAATGAGTCAGTGTCTTTGACATGTCTTAATCCTTAATTGCCAACAGTATTTAGGTTCTCCCTAAGCCGTTTTAGGTGCCAATTTTACCGGTAAAAATAATTGACCAACCAGTAAAAAGTTTAAGATTGTAAAATAATAAAACCACTGATTAGGCCTATGTAGTCTAGGTTGGCTTTCTTTCTTTCAATAAATGAACATCATTCCAGTCTATACCTAGGATATGAATATATGTGTTGTTTTTTCAAGTCATTAAACATCACTCAAAAGGGATAATGCCTCACACTGCGTACTTGGCTAAATTTTTATCTCAAGTTTAACAGTAAAAATGTTTCAATTGAGAGAACACTGGTATATTGAAGTACAAGTAGTATTAAATTATTAAGTATAGTGAAATTGTTTTATTTATGCATCTTTAAATTTGCAAGATGTTTTATTAATGCATCTTAAATTAGCAAGATAGTAATAATTTATGTTAACGTAGGAAATTGAAGTACAGTTTATATGCTTAACCCAAACTTTATTTCACATATATTGTGTTAGATTGATATTACAATAAAAAATAGTTAACTATTATGTGCATACATCTTATGATGAAAGTACACTCCAGTTCTGCAACTGAATGGATGTGATGTTAACCCTTTACCAAACTTTCTGAAGATAATAGTTTCATTAAACATTTCAAAGATGCTTTTTTTAATTTTTTTTATTTATGCAATTCTCCAATGAAATGCTTGTATTTTACATTTTAAGCAAAGAATTTAAGCTTTTTTTTTAATTCAGAAACTTTGTTTTTACATATTTATAGATTATGATGATGTGTGGACTTCCAGCAGCTGGTAAAACATACTGGGCTTTGAATTATTGTAAAGAACACCCAGAGAAAAAGTACTATGTTCTTGGAACTAACCTTATAATGGAAAAAATGAAGGTAGACCCATAACTTCGGTTTTTTTACAATTGCTTTCACACTATTAACATGTACAAATTCAATAATAATATCATCAGCAGCAGCAACAACATTGTTTAAGTTTAGCAAAAGTTGTATCTTATTTGCCTTAGAGATAGCTGAAGGAGAGGCTTTATTTGCTTTCTTAATCAGCAGTTTTTTTATCTGACAGAAAGTACATAACTCATCAATTACAAGATGGAACGATGCTCTATAGACAAGACTAATTGAGGAGTGTGGATTTGATTAAAGCATTAGAAGAAATCCTTGTGTCCTCAGGATGTGGACCCTGTAATTGAAAGGCATCCATCTTAATCACCCAACTAATATTATGCACATTTTATTTATTTTATGCACATTGATAACTTTACAAAATGCTTTTCATCCAAGGTGATGGGATTGCCACGAAAGAAGAACTACACCGGTCGATGGGATGTACTGATTCAGACAGCCACCAAGTGCTTAAACAGGTGGTTTGAAATTGCTCCACGCAAGCGGCGTAACTACATCCTGGATCAGGTAAACAAAGGGATGAATTTCCCCGATTTCTAACCACATCTTTATTCCAGGTTTATTAAAAACATACAGAATACATATTAGCGGTGAAATCTTGCAATATATATCTGAAAATATGTAATATACCAGAAAAAATCTTGCAAAATGATTATCAACTTTGCTGAGATGTCCAGAAAAAGAAAAAAAACGCGACGTCTATACTACTGTTAAAGAAACTGAAAATGATGGATTTATTACAAAAAGAAAATGCAGCAATATTATATGGAGAATGCCAAGCAACTATTTAATATGATAAAGGATAAGCAAAATATGATAAAGGATAAGCAACTATGGAAATGGGATAGCAGAGAAATGTATTCAATAAATGATACAGTGGACAATGGCAATATAATGAAAATATATGTATGATATTTTACTGTGTATTAAGGTAGGTGAGGATTTTTCATATGTATATGTTTTAATGAGGATGATGTCTTTGTGGTAAGTACATACAAAGGTAAGTGAATTGTAGGTAAGTAGTGTTAAGTAGAATTATAAAAAGGCCTTTCAAGTTCGATGGGGTAAGTATGTCTTTTATTGTTTTACTAGAAGAAATAAGCTTAGGAATAGGACACAAAGTATTGCATCTGGTGAGAAATCTGAGATCTTAATTGCTTGTAACAAGAAAATACTTGCCAATTTGTCACTTCGAATCCACTGCTTATTATGACAGGATGTAGACTGATCAGTCTCCTTAAGAGCCAACTTGAGGAATATCACAAACGAAACTCTTTTCTAACAAAAAAAACCCTAAAGGATATGTTGAATTTTAGAGCGAGCTTGAAGAGAATAACGGACAAAACTTTTTAACAAAAAAAAACTTAATGGATATATGTTGAGATATAAGAGGCAACCTGATGGAATTCGCCAATGAAACTCAATCCTAACTTTAAAAAACCTAACGAAGATATATTGAATTGATGATAGCAGAAAACAAGAATGGAGTAACCAAGACTTTTAATAACAGAAGCTCTACAAGACATAAGGATTTCGCGAAAATTTATATTAGAACCAGCATCTAATCTACTGGTTCTTGAAGGAGCTTGGAGATTGCAAGATTATATGTAACTTAGAGGGAACAATTTCACCTCAAATATTGTATCGTTTTATGGCTTCTGCATTTATGCCACATATTATTTGTTTTTATTTATTTGTTATTTCATTTTCGATGTCATTGATAGTGCACCTTGTTTGTTTTAGGATTGTGATTGAGATTTAATTATCATTAAGAGTTTCTTCTCTCAGCCAGAGCATTAGCATGATTTATCAGATTTTTTTTGTGATAGTTTAAACGAAATTAGAATCCTAACTGTAGACGAAACATTTTAATTTCCACAGGTTTCTGGTAAGTATTGAAGAAAGTTAGGTGTTCTGGAAAGTAATAAATCTGCTGAATGTTGTCATTACAGAAAAAGTAGTGGACACCTAAAGAAAAAAAAAACTTAATAATATTGATGATCATTCTCTCCCAATTATGCTCTTGTCAGACCAATGTGTATGCTTCAGCTCAAAGAAGAAAAATGCGCCCTTTTGAGGGGTTCACCCGCAAAGCTATCGTAATTGTCCCTACTGAAGAGATACTTAAAGAGAGAACTGAAAAGCGAACAAAAGAAGAAGGAAAGGAAATTCCAGAAAGCGCTGTGAATGAAATGAAAGGTAGGAAGTGACCGACTCTTATTGGACTAACTGGGAAAGGGGGTAACATCAAGGGTTGGGATAAACTGATGAGATCGCCTTTGGGTGGTGAAAGGTTGAGCGGATGTGGTGTTCCCGCTCGTGTGGAACCACTTCAGTGATTGTCTAACATTCTGGCTATTGTTTTTGTTCTTTCTGATCAGCAAATTTTGTGTTGCCTACCGAGGAAAAGTCCGGTTTCGAAGAGGTAACATTTGTTGAGTTAGAAAAAGAGGAAGCTCAAAAGCTTGTTGAGAAGTATAACAAGGAAGGGCGTGCTGCTCTGCCACCACCAGAGAAGCGATTCCGAGGCGGTGATCGTGATCGCGGACACAACAGAAACCAAGGTGGCTACAACCGTTATGGAGGGGGAGGTCAGCGTGGTGGGTACAGAGATGATCGTAGAGGAGGTTATGGGGGTGGTGGTCGTGGTGGTGGATACCGACAAGGTGGAGGAGGAGGGGGAGGAGGATATAGAGACAACAGAGATAGACGAGGAGGTATGTTATTTGAATGTCTGTGTACCAGTGATATCCTAATTAAGATTGAAAAGTCTCATCATTATTATTATTATTGATAATCCTGCCAATCGTGCTAAAATGTTAGCATTCTGAGCACTCCATCTTGGTAAGTGTGCCGTGTGTACCCACTTTCAAATTTCAGTATTTTAATTAATTTGAGTTTTTTTTTCCTTTTCTTGCAGGAATGAGAGGCGGATATGGAAATAGAGGAGGGTACGGCGGAGGTGGTGGATACGGTGGTGGAGGATACGGTGGCGGTGGAGGGTATGGTGGTGGTGGAAGTGGAGGATACGGTGGCGGCGGTGGAGGCTACCGTGGACCTCATGGCAACCGAGGTAGTAGCGGAGGAAGTGGTGGTGGCTACCGTGGAGGTAGTGGTGGTGGTGGCAGCTCAGGCCGTGGAAGTAGTTACGGTGGCAATCGCAATCAGTCAAGTTATGGTGGAAGTGGTGGCTACAATAAGCGAGACTCTGGAAGCCAACGTTATAATCAGCATCAGGTATTTAAAAAGCAGTTGCTATATTTTCTCTAATAGTTCCTGTTCACAGTCTACCTTCACCATTTCCTTGTTATCTTGTTCAAAGTGAATGAATCAAATTTGTCTTACTGGAATACTGAATAAGTGGCAGTTACAGTTTTTATAAAATAGACCACAAGATTTGTGTAATATGGACATGTTAATGTTATAACAGCCATACACGTGCAGTACAGTACCTAATTTAGTACCCAACATGCACTGTGAGGGCTCCGGCCCCTTTTGTAAACCAATTGAAATACGCATGCACAAACCCGTAACTAATGTATGTCAAGCACGTAAAATCCTGAAATTAACATGTCATCCGTTAACGTCAAGCTGAACGTTGTGCGGCGAAAACTACCTAATTAGTGTGTGGAGAGCCTTTTAAACTTCTGTACCAAGTCAAAACAACATAACTTAAATTAAGAGTTGCACTGTTTTGCCATAGGACAGCCGAACTGAATAATGAATGATAACTTGAATATCTTTTAATAAATGTCCATTGATGTCCCTTCGGTATTACAGTCCAGCTATGGCAGCTCAAGCTATGGATCGGGAAGTAGTGGAGGCGGTTACAACAGCGGAAGCTACAACCAGGGCGGAAGCAGCGGTTATGGTGGAAGCAGCAGCAGTGGTGGTAGCGGCAGCTACGACTCGTACAACCAGTCAAACTATGCCCAACAATATCAGCAGTACGCCCAACAGTACCAGCAATATCAACAATATTATCAACAGAATCCTCAATATGCACAGCAGTATGCCCAATATTACGGCAACTACAATAACTACAACCAGGGCGGTTCCTCATAAATTTGCCAGTGTGGCGGTGTTGGTGTTTTTTTTATAAAAATTTCTGATCATGATGGCGATTGAGGTTAACTACTGGACATGATATTGTAAGAAAATTAGTTGGAATATCGTTCACTTGATCATGTTCTCAGATAAATGTTCATTTGTAAATACTAGCTGAAAAGTGTAATGCCCTGTTAAATTTTTTTCTACCCCAAATTATTACCCTATGATGTTTGTTATATACAGTAATTCTTTCCCTCCCCATTTGAAATTTTATCCAACTCCTCAAAGTTTGTTTGAAGTATATATCACTAAATCCCTCTACTGAGATTTTTTTCATACTTGGGCTTAATATCTTTAATGTATTATTAAGTGTTTAAACATAGACTAGAACTATAATAATGTGATGAATTTTGTAAACTAGTTTTTAACTGTTTTTGTGTAATTAATGTGAGAATTTTGGTTTATCTGTTTTTATCTTGTTTTCTCAAGTTTTACAAAGGGTTGCAGCATTTGTATATGCGGTCTTAATTTGTTTTAGATATTGAATTACACTTTCTCTTGCATTTATGCATTAATTGAATGAATGGCTCAGGATAATGAAAAAATGATTTAGTATTTTGTTATTAAAATTAGAAGGAAAGTAACCCACTTTGAAATAAACAGTTTTCACACATATCAAAATTGATGTTTCACATTATTTTTTGTAGTGGTTAAGAATTAAAAAATTTTCTAAATCGAATGTTTTCAGTCTCCATGCGGGGAGTTTCAATAGCCTTTTTTGTAGTGTTATATAGTACAGTACTAGCAGTAAGTTTGGTCATTGGATCCGTCAAGCCTGGGTTTCATTGCAGTGTACTGCATGACATTCCCCAATGCAATCGGAAGGCTCCCTGATCCCACTAACCAAAACCAATCGGCATCGCCAAAAGTTGTCGGTGTTGATTAGCATGCAGTGGTTGTATGGAAGCCAAGCTTGAATTGGGAAACCCAGAATCAGTTTCACTACATGATATACAGTACAGTACCTAATTTATCCTGCAGCATTCAATACCAGAAAATCGTCCCTGGTACCCATTTATTTAGTAAATAATACAGTACAATATTTTAGAATTGTCTCTGAGAATAATACAATAAAAGATTATTGTCCAAGAAGCATTGTCCCTAAAAAAAAAAAAATTATGCGAGGTGAACAGTGAAATTCACGAGATTTGAAAAGCTGACCTCGAGGATTAGGTTTGCCGTGAAGGGAAACTAACAGGCTAGGGTTGGTGTGGACTCCAGTTATGAGCATGAAGCACGAAAAAGATTGCGCCAAAGCTCAACATTATTTGGGGGGGGGGCAGGCCCACATGATAGTAATTACAGTATTACTGTATTTTTAAAAACAGAATGCTACCTAAAATTTTCTATAGGCCCTGGTATGCTTGGGCCCTGGTGGTACACTGTCACCCTACCCCATTTCAGGATTCCTAGATAGGCCTACGCTACTGCTCGTAGTAGTAGTAATCCAGTACAGTACTGTAGTAGAATATGAATACGAATTTTAGTGCAATGAATCAATTTAGAAAACGTTCTATAATATTATTCAGACACTGCATTGGTGTAGATATGAGGCATTAGTTTAGCACACTTCTGAGAACTATAATATAGAATGAACCAGATGTGGCGAACTGCTAGCAGAGGGGCTGCAAAATTCGACAAATACAGTAATAGATTAATGGATGTATCAGTACATCGTAAATGGCAAACTGATTTACGTTATACAGTACTTTCATTTAAGCATTAATTGGTCATCAACACGCACACCTTCACCTTCGAAAGTGTCCAGAGAGAAAGAAAGTCATGCTCAAGTAGCTAAAAATCACCTTAGGCCTATTATTTGACCTAGGGTAGTGCCCCCTCACTTTCCAAAATCATTGGATGCCACTATGCACCTTCTTTCCGGATTGTCAATCAGACTGACCAATCAAAACAGAGCCGGCAATACGCGCTTGTCTCGCGCACAAAAACACGTGTTTATTGCCTATTTAAAACACGTTTTGTGGGACCAGCAACTTAACACGCCACTTTGTACTGTGTCGTGCAGGGGAGGCGACAGTGACGGGGATGAGCGAAGGAGAGCTACCCGTCGATGAAAACACTACTCATCAGGGAAGGGAAATTTAAATGTAATTTCTTTTTACACGGGCCCAAGTACTAAAAAATCGATTAAATATTATAAAGCCTTTGAATCAAATCTTTCCCTGCTGGACCACTTCTGAGATATTTTGAGCAACACCCGACCACGCCGCCGCCCCTCCCCCTCCCTTTCCGGTCGGGGACATTGGGCTCCCCCGTCGGCAAACCCTCATGGCACCTCCGCTGTGGTGGATGGTCTTCTTGGCTACTTTTCCATTGAGTAGGCGCCTAACTGTATATTATTTAAAATCTCAGAAGGCATGAAATGTTGACAATTATCTGAATTTACAATATAAACGGAAGAAAAATACAAGATATCAAACGAAATAAATTTATGCCTACCGTAAACTAAAGGGATTATATGACAACTACAATACATTCATTTATATAGACCTACTGTAAGTAAAACATGCTGAGAGAGCCCGCCGCTGTCAGGGCTGTTAGTTTGTTTTTTTTTTGGTTTTTTTTACCGCAAAGTATCCGGGAACCAGAGTAATTTTATACCTTAATCCTAGGATGTTTTTATTAACGCACACGTTATAACATAACTTATAAAGATGATTGAAAATATTACAGTAAATCAAATAATTTACATCTATTTTTAAATATGTATGTTTTCCTTTTAATTAATAAGATAATAAAATGTATTAATATATTGCATATAACGTTTAGATTATTGCATTGTGGGTAGTTAAGCAGACCTACATTTTAAGAATGAGGTGTATCGGTCTTTCGCATAATATTCGCCATCATGGGTTTCAGTAATATTTGGCATTCTCACCCAAGAAAGTACGGCCCAGGCTCTAGGACGTGGTAAATCAATTTGTTTTATGCTAAGGAGTGATATGATTTATTTTAGTTCATTAATATTGTGAAAAGTGTTGATATGTTTTGTTAAATAACGAGAAAAAACGCCTTCCTGATTCTGGATTGGAAGTGAACCGCCACGGAACAACAACCATGTGTGTGTGTGTGTGTGGATAGCTGGTGGGACCGGGTCCGTGTTGTGCTAGCTAGGCCTAGGCCAGCGTTCCGCAAACTTTTTACTTTACGGCCTATTTGCGATTCCAGACACCAAGCCGCAGCCCAGCCTCGCCAGGGACCAACTAACCAAATCCTGGCAAGACCTTATGATCATGAAGCCTCCTAGCTAGTAGGCTAGGCTTATAATATATACAATATTTTGACATCATTATCTGTTCTCTCAGTGATAAAATTTCATTGTCATAGCTTTCTCCTTCCAAAAACTTTTACGCACCCTCTCTTACCCCACAACTTTGAAAGACTACCTTACTATACAGGTATTATGTTTAGAAATAAAGTATTTACATGGGCATTCGGTTATCAAGAAATTTGTGGTGCTGTTTACTGTAGTGATCTTTCTAGGACAAGTCTTATATGTATTTTTATCTTTAGTTCATGACTTATCCCATCATTCCTCTATACCGGATTTACTCGATCTTACAGGGTTAATACTAGATAGTAACATAGTGTCTAGCTCCCGAGGGAGCACCCATCATCTGGAACTTTATCAGTGTATGCAAGCGACGCATTCGCTGTAACACTAAAGCAGCTATATTAAAAACTATTCTCCATAATGAAACGTCTCTTTGTTATTTTTTTTTTCCAATTTCCAGACGGCTTTGCGGCCCTCCAAAAATGTTTCGCGGCCCAAATTTGGGCCGTGGACCATAGTTAGCGGAACGTCGGCCTAGGCAGTCTAGGGAATGGCAAACAATTTTTAACTGAATGTGTTGCAGGCTTACTTTTGAGGGGAAATATTTAATGTTCTTTTAGATATTGTTTAGGCATACCTCCTAGAGTTAGGCACCATTTTTATTGTAATGCCCAATCACTGATATAATAATAAATAAATATTGCAGTTGTTTGTACATCTGATTCTTAGTAATACATGATCTGTACTGTACTGTAACATCACAATAACATGGGCCTAGCCTAGGCCTAATTTAGTTATGATTGCCGATGAGAGATGTATGTAATTGTTAATGTTGAGTAGTGATTAAACATTTTTATATTGTAATAATAAAATAATTATTGAATTTTAAAAAAAAAATCATAATTTATGCCATAAAAAATGTTTTGCATGTGTAAACTACTTATTTCTTTGTTGGGTCTAAGTTTTTTAACCTGTATTGACAATCGACCATGTGATCTTTTATTCATTTCATATACTCAGCATGAGTACAAATTCAAGCACTTAAATCAAAATAGAAAGTTTAGTTCTTTTCATTAATGACTTGTTACTCCTTATTACCTAACATTTGTATGTTGTTCCTTTCAGCCGTGTATGTGGCAATAGGCATGGTCTTATCCGAAAGTATGGCTTGAACATATGCAGACAGTGCTTTAGAACGTATGCTAGTGATATTGGTTTCCAAAAGGTAGGTTGTTTTGAATAACAACCATCAATGCTACCTTTTTTCGGAAGCATTTCCCCTCTCAATCATCAACTTTAACTAAATTATTGAATTACACTTGCCAATTAGTAATGTATATTGTAAATAAATTAGAACTCAGCTTGTTGAAACAAACTTAAAATATCCACCCAGTTATTCCTATGTTTAATGCTAGAATTCCTTGCAAATTGATAATCTTACGACTTTACTGTTTTTTTCAGTTGGACTAAGGAGTCGAAATTGTGAATTCTCAGAATATTCCACTTGGTACTGCTTAGGGAAATGGAAAATGGAGAGATCGATAAAGAAGAGAGTGAAGAAGAGACAGAAGTAGAAAGACAATCATGGAAAGTGAAGCTCTGGTGTTTGATAGCTTTAATGAAAGCTCTATGTGATCAAGTTGATGTACTGTACAATGTCTTGGAATTATCTCTGAGAATAGCACAATAAAAGGTTACAGTCCCAAGAATCATTGGCTTGTGTTATTTTTAATTGTCTTATAGTTTCTAAATTAAATACAGTAATTAAATGGGTTAGTTTCACAGTAATGATGCTGTGCTTACCTACTGTACAGTTTCAATGAATGAATGATGGATAGCTGTTTATAATTATTACAAGTACTTCATTACATCTGTTTGTCTTAAAACATTAAAATTTACAAGAACAGATTCAGCAAGGAACAACCACAAAAGAACACGAGACAGGAGCACCCCAAAAGTGAACTAAATCACTGTCCATTGGGGACCTTTTCACAAAAAAGATGTTTACAATATTTTTAATACACTACTGTATTGTAGTGTAATAAAATTAATCTAGATTTTAGAGTACGACAGTTGGAACTGGAATGGTCTATGGATTTTCCTACAGATGATGTAAAAGCATAAAGTTAATTAATTTAATGGTTTCTACAGTATTATTCACTTTAAATTTTGCTTAACATCACAGGTGGGCAAGGTGCGGTACACCAACAATCTTTGGCTAGAAAACATTGTTTTTACGTGTGTCCCCTATACAGTAATAGAGGTTCTACTGTAATTTTATTTATATTGTCAACAGATGGGTGTGTTCTAGCTAGGATATCCAGAGAGAATGATGATGACATAGGCGGTGAATAGTCGAGTGATGTAATGCAATGACTAATAACATCAAAATAAGCCCACCATAAATGTGGCCAGAGCATGCAAGGGCAAACATCTTTCTTTGAGCGGTAGAGTTGGGGTGGGGACATTGGTGACTCTACATTCATCTAAGCACCACCATGGTGAAGTGAGAACATTTGAAGAAACTACCTCTATTGGCCGAAAATATATATATAGAACCCTGGTTCTATCAGCGGAAACAGTTTCACTCAGATGTATAAATATTGGCCCGGCGGAGATTATCTTTAGCCTGTGAGATCAACTCTAAAAATAACTTGGCCCTTCAAACAAATTAATTAAGAACCAGGGATATAGACTATCATAGTCAAAATAAAGCATCAACAAATCCCTCAAGAATATTCTTCACTGGAAAGTTTTTATTTTATGCTCGGAAATGCGCTTTCCTGCTTCTGGCAAATGTGATGTTGTAGGCCTATAATAGATATTGACAAGAGCAATGATTTTTGGATGAAATAACTTTAATTGACCTGGTATCCAATTTTGTTGAGTTTCAATTATGACCAATTTATTATTATTATTATTTTTTTTTTTTTTTTTTTTTTTTTTTTTTTTTTTTTTTTTTTTTTTTTTGTGAGACCAGTTTGAGGTATTTTACTTCTTAGGACAAAATTATGCTAAATTTGCTAAAATTATGCCAGCACATATGCTAGATGCTAAACGGGTCTAAATTATGCCAATAGCATAATTCATGCTAGGTCTGGTCACTATGATTGCTATGAAGCAGTTTCCTTTCTCTGAATGCCTCCCGATTCGACCGACCAATCAGCGTCACCACCGAAACCACAAAAGCGGATAGCTACTTTATGGAAACAAATCTTAACTGGAAGAGTTCATAAAATATTCTGCGTTGGATATCAGTCCTGTATATCTGAGTCAAGATTTAGGGATTAGGATTTCAGATAATACACAAGAAAAGCTTACTTGCACATGATGATCCTCAACATTATATGACTTGGGTATCTAAGTGACCTGATTGGTGAATGGTTTTGCTTAAATGATTTAGATCGGACTCAATCGCTCGGGTTCAAAAAAAAAATATACCACATATAATACAGTTGTATTTAATGCAGATACAGACTATTTATATATTGCGGTTGTATAGACAATTTATCCTTATAAAATTGTGTACAATGTGTCTAAATTATGCCAATAGCATAATTCATGCTAGGTCTGGTCACTATGATTGCTATGAAGCAGTTTCCTTTCTCTGAATGCCTCCCGATTCGACCGACCAATCAGCGTCACCACCGAAACCACAAAAGCGGATAGCTACTTTATGGAAACAAATCTTAACTGGAAGAGTTCATAAAATATTCTGCGTTGGATATCAGTCCTGTATATCTGAGTCAAGATTTAGGGATTAGGATTTCAGATAATACACAAGAAAAACTTACTTGCACATGATGATCCTCAACATTATATGACTTGGGTATCTAAGTGACCTGATTGGTGAATGGTTTTGCTTAAATGATTTAGATCGGACTCAATCGCTCGGGTTCAAAAAAAAATATACCACATATAATACAGTTGTATTTAATGCAGATACAGACTATTTATATATTGCGGTTGTATAGACAATTTATCCTTATAAAATTGTGTACAATGTGCAAAGAATCATGTGGTATCTTCAGACAATTTTTTTTCCTACTCTTTTTAAAAGTTTTTCCGGACTTATTTGGATCCTATAAAAAGGTCATCTTTTCAGTATATATGTCAAGGGTCATGTTTTCAACGTATCTGTCAACGATAACCAATAAATAAGTTGAGTTACCAGGAGTTGCATCATTTTTCATTTTATTTATTTTTTGTTATAACAATCGTAACAAATCAGATATTACAGTAAAGATTATATCGCTGATGCAAGAGCAAGTAATGATAGAGGGCGGTGTATAAAGGCAATGTTTTTGCAGGTGTTGCAATCATTCACATGCTGTTTGATTGGTAGAACGGACCTGCCCTGGTCTTTCCCCTGCATAAGTTGGGTTTGTTACCATAAGAGGCCTTGTCTAAGGTCGTTGAACATTCTTTTTAGGTCATTTGATTAAGATAATTTTTACATTTTGTTGTGATTATGGCTCTGAAGTTGACAGTCAGCTCTACGAATCCACCGGCATGTGAGTATTGTTTGACTGAAGTAGCTATTCTCAGCGTAAATATAGGCCCAGAAGTGACACGTAAAAGCCTTAGTTAGCCAGGCTGTTGTCCACAACTTAGATTTTAGTGTGGCTGGATTCACTTAAATTGTAATTTTATCTAGGCCTAGAGCTTAGGTTAAAATTCTACACACGATACAAAATAATGTGGTATCTCGCATTCAGTGATGCTTTGTATAATAACCAAAGAAAGTGGAGAGTAAATCATTAAACTGTACAGCTGTATTGTCACTGTGTGATGTACTACTACATAACAGAAACTTGTGCTATAGAAGTTCTATAATTAATAATAAACTCATTTCTTGTTTTTCACTTTCCCGATTGTTTAAATTGGCTAAATTTAATTTAAATTTAATTTTAATCCTTTTAAATGTTGCCTTCATTTTTTATTATCTGTTAGAATAAATAATTACATATTTAAAAGATTTGGTGCCAACTTTTTAATATTGTTATAAATGTTTAATCAGAATTTAATATTGTATATTCAGCGGTGGCCCCAGAAATTTGCCGACTAGGAATCTGACATGTCCGACGGAGGGGACCGAACTAAGAGGCTGACTAGAGCCTCGGTCGATGGTCCGGAATAAAAATCCCTTGTAGGATTCGCGGCTTTTATGTCTCGTTATTGTCCAAATTGTGCTTTTAGACAATTAGGGATTAGCAATCAAAGTAAGGTTATTTTGATAGGCAAGATCTTTGATCCGACAACTTAGTCGTGGCGTCGAAATACTGGGGGAGTCCAGGCCTGTCCGACAGGGGGAGGTCAAATTTTATATAATATATTATTTGACTCTGATCGGCCAACATAGACCAGAGTGAGCACATTAATTAAAATTGCTTATTATTTTTTCCCAACCAACAGTGGTGTTACTTACTGCAGAGTACTTAAAACCAGCAGTTGCTGTTGATGTCGAACTTGGACAGAGAAATGTCTTGAAGGTGTCTCAGTAAGTATAAGCCTGACTGCCATCCTGCAAGATGTATGCTGATTTTGTGAGGTCCAGCGGTCTCACTGAACTTGTGAATGCTTTGTATGCCATCCACCTCCGTAAGGTTCTTACCGCTGACAGTAAAAGTAGTTTATGTGGTTTGGTTGCTCCCCTCTGAAGCTTGATAAAAACATTTATTAATATATTTATTTTTTCCCAGAATTCTTAGCCTAATTCAGCTTCCTCTCCACCATAGGAAATATAATATTTAAGACTAAATTTCATTTTGTGATTGTCATTTTGGATTCTCTTTGCCTTTTTTTTTCTTAAAGAAGGTAGAAAGTACAACCAACACGCTAAATAGAACAGCTTTTGTTTTCACTTTCAATAGATCTACAAGTTTTACGACTCCTGTGTCCATATGCCGCTATCTAGCACGTCTTGCTTCAAATGGATTGTATGGAAGCACTACTTTAGAAACAACTGAGGTAACTTTCATTATTCTAATATTTTATTATCATATTCTAAGTTTTTCATTCTCAACCAACAGAGAGTGTCATAGTACTTATAGGATGTTATCAGCTTAGTGTCAGCTAAAGGAGTGGAATTGTGTTTGCATGTTTTGAACCCAGAACCTGTGGTATTATTGGAAGACAAGCATCTCAACTTATTACATTACACATAAATTTCAAATCATTTTATCTGGTTTGTTATAATATATATTTTTCTTGTTCTCTCATTCCTCCCCAAGTGTGTGTTGTGGGGTGCGTACAGCATGAGTGTAGAATGGCTGTGTTGTTTTAATACATTTTTACACATGTATTACTACAAATTAACAATTATGCATACATCAGGTATTTCCAGAAGCCTACCACTTAGAGACTGATATATTCCGTTTCTCACACACTCTTATTCAGTACACTATTGATGCTGAAAAGCCACAATGGTTTTTTATAATAATCAGTGTTTCACCTATTTCTTGAATTATAGGTGGACCACTGGCTAGAGTTTAGTACTGGTAGACTAGCAAGCAATGTGGAATTCGAGGGCGCCCTCACCTACCTTGACAGAATATTATCACTGAAGACCTATCTGGTTGGCAACAACCCATCATTGGCTGATTTTGCAGTATGGGCCACCCTGAAAGGTGAGCTAAGCATTCTCATCAGTGGCCACAATATTCACGACTTTTATTTTATCATATACCGTGTATAACGTCTTAAAATTTAAGGTTTGCAATTGTCACTTTGGGTTGTACCCTAAAATCCGAGTTGGACACTGGTGTCAGATTTTTTTTTTGGGGTATACAGTATTTGGACTCAACACAGGTGTTGGACTTAACTAATGAGATGTACCCTGGGGTAAGACTTTTCCAGTGTTTAAATCCCCCAGGAGTTTTTATTCCAGGTTTTAGATTTTCCCCATGGTTACATTTTGGGAGTCAGAATTTTCCTTAAATTAATTTGACTTAATCACCATAAAATTGTCTTTTATCCTTTCAGGTAGCACAACATGGAATGAAAAGCTGTGTAGTAAAAAAGGAGGCAAGAACGTTACCAGATGGTATCGGTTCCTAGAGGCTCAAGAAAGCTTCAAGAAAGTTTCAGCCCAGCTACCTAAAGTTGATGCTCCAACTGTAAGTAGATATATGGGGCATGATTATGGAGATTGTAATCAGAAATTTTTTTGGAGTCTTGTACTTGTTGTGTTGCCTTTGAAGTACAATAACTTATATAGTGATAAGTGTATGGGTTAAATGGGTTAACATTGTGGTTATAAGGTTGAATACCTCTATAGTGATAACTTATATAGTGATATATTTATGGGTTAAAATTTTGGTTAAGGGCAGATACAAAATATAGGCGGCGTGAAAATTTGGCGATTTTGTTTTACAATGGCAAAAGGATTATTACACTAGTGCAGAGGAGTGAAGATAATATCAAGATGATGATGTTGAAAGAAAAACATAAATACAAACTTTTTAATGTTGTTTTTATCAGAGCAAAAAGGAAGATGTTGGTAAATTCTTTGAGCTGCCTGGAGCAGAAATGGGTAAAGTTGTAACAAGATTTCCACCAGAAGCCAGTGGGTAAGAAATCATTCAGTCTTGGCTCATTTATTTATGGAGCATCATCTAATTCATTCCATCTTGTAAAAATATTTTTGCATTTTAAAAAATTCATTAAACCTAAATGGACTTGTATGATGTATTTATAGGTATTTACATATTGGACATGCTAAGGCTGCTCTGTTGAACCAGTACTACCAAGTGGCATTTGAGGGCAAGCTAATCATGAGGTTTGATGATACGAACCCAGCAAAGGAGGATGCCCACTTTGAAGAGGTAAGCAAATGAATTGAACACATATTCTATTGCACCTCAATAAGTTTTTTTTTTTAACAAGAATTCACCCAAAACAAGGCTAAGAGCCACCCTGGGTAACAGGCCAGAAAAGAAATGCTAAATAGAGCAAAAGGAAATAATCCACATTCCTCTTAAATAGAGAAAGGTCTTATACTTAAGGAAAAAAATCAGCGGGTAGTGAGTTACTTGTTTACCTTGATATACCTTCATTCTTCTATAGCGTAATTCCATGCGGTTACAAAGTGCTGACTATCCTTAACTATAATTAACATTACCCCCAAGTATGCCCACCCTAACCAAAACCAACAGAGTATGCTTTCATGAGTGATAGACCAATGTAAATTAATGATATTAAAGAATAAAACAATAAAAATATTAAAAGTTCCAAAAAGAGAAGAGCTGTCTGCATAGCTTTTTTGTATTTATGGAAATCGTTCTACCAAAAGCAACTATGCAGAAAACTATACAGAAATCAAAATACACATAGACTCATAATAAATTTTTTTTTTTTTTGGTGTGTTTGTAAGTTAAATAGTAATTGAGGGCATCCACTTGCTATCCTATAAAGTTATTGGAATAAAAATAAAGGAAGAAATATATAGTAAAGACACATTATTAATTTGAAGATCATTATTTAAATCTGATTAACAAATTAATTATTAATTAACAATAGCTCTGAAATTTTGTTTTTGTTGTTGGCAGGTGATCTTGGAAGATATACAAATGCTTGGTCTCCAACCAGACATGTTTACCTTTACCTCAGATCATTTTGAGAAGTGTTTAAGTTATGCTACAGATCTCATCAAAGCAGGCAAAGCATACGTTGATGATACAGAGTCGGAGCAGATGAAAAAAGAGCGTGAAACACGAACCAAATCCAACAACTGGGACAACTGTAAGTCATTAGTCATACCAATCATCAATGATATTGAAATATTACAATATTATTAGCTTAATGATAATAAAATATTATTATACTAATACCTTTAATATTAAATGATATAATTTGATCTGCATTTTAAATGAATATATAATAATAGTGAATATATTAATAACAATTAAATGATATTGTAATTTTATTATTCATTTTCCAGCTATTGAAGAGAACCTTGCGCTTTGGGAGGAGATGAAGAAGGGAACTGATATTGGACTCAAGTGTGCTTTGAGGGCAAAAATTGACATCGGCTCCGACAATGGATGCCTCCGTGACCCCACCATATACCGGTGCAAGAGGGAGCCACATATCAGGACTGGCAACAAATACCTGTCAGTAGCAGTTACATCTTATTATCTAATTCATCTCTTTTATAAACAATATAAACACGTTTCCACCAGGAAGTTATTTATTATATATTTGATATGCTAAATTAGAAGATAATGTAAAGATCCATGATGCTTAGAAGACAAATTTACAATCTAAATAATTTCTAGTTGTTATTGCCATCATTATCAAAGTACTTTTAATTTGATATTCTAAAATTGGAGGATAATGTAAACAGCCATTGTGCTTAGAACACAAATTTAGATCTATAAATTCCTAAATTTTTATTATCATCATCATTATTAATGTCTTTACCATTACTATTATTTTATTATTTATATTATTTTTACCACTTCTGTGAATTCTGCATGCTAACTCGGTTCTCTTGAACTCCTTTCAACAGGGTCTATCCAACATACGACTTTGCCTGTCCAATAGTTGACAGCGTAGAGGGCGTAACACATGCTCTACGTACTACAGAGTACCATGACCGTAATGCTCAATATTCATGGTTTATTGAGCATTTGAAGCTGAGACCGGTGTTTGTCTGGGAGTACAGTCGCTTAAATCTACAGAACACAGTTTTATCGAAACGGAAACTCACCTGGTTTGTCCAACAGGGACTTGTAGATGGCTGGTACGTATACAAAATTATATATATAATACCTCTCACGTTTTGCCTCAACTCCCGCACACCAGACAATTTTAGACTGAGCGTATCATAGCGCACCTTGTTGTAAGCAAAAATAGCATCATGTGAGACCAGCTTTAGGCCCAATAAATATAAAGTTTAATAACCACCCTAACCCTCTTGGAAATGTGATGCAGACACACGGTTTAAATTTGTATTCAAATCATAAGTGCAGTTTGTTTAATTGAACAAAAAAGGTTTATTTCACTGTTTTTTTTTATATAGGGATGACCCTAGATTCCCAACTGTTCGTGGAATTTTACGACGAGGGATGACAGTGGAAGGTCTGAAGCAGTTCATTGCAGCTCAGGTAACTATATGCAAACCTTCATTATTTAATGATTTAATTATTTAAGTTTGGCTAATTAATCCTTAAATTTTCTGGAATCTAACCTAGCTCATTTTAACCATGCTCTAGTAGAGTGGTGACTACCCAATAAAGGATGTATTATGATTTTGTATTCTTTGTCTCAACAGGGTTCATCTCGTTCAGTTGTAATGATGGAATGGGACAAAATCTGGAGTTTTAACCGCAAGGTCATTGACCCTATTGCCCCTCGCTTTTCTGCTGTTGTCCAAGATGATGCAGTCCAGGTCAACGTTGTAGATGCAGTTGAGGAATCCAAGGAGTACCCTAAACATCCCAAGGTACATTTTTCTTTTTATCAGCATTCTGCCATCATCATCTTTACCACCTGTATCATCTTCACCACCTGTATCATCTTCACCTTATGTATCATCATCTTCACCACCTGTATCAGTACCTTCACCACCTGTATCTTCACCACCTGTGTTATTCTTTTCACCACCTGTATCATTATCTTCACCACCTGTATCGTCTGCACCTCATGTATAATCTTCACTGCCTGTATCAGTATTCTGTATCCAGAATTTTTCAAATGGGGGTTGGGGGCACAGCATTTTCAGAATAGATAAGTGAGTGAACGAAAGAGAAAAAAATTAGATAAGTGAATAGTGCTTGTTTTAGTACATAAAATTGTTAAGCATTGAATGTTTTTAGTTTAGTGGCAAAACAGGGAGTGGGGAATCTACTGAATCTGCACCTGACCACCTGTATTATCATCTTATCCACTTCCACTCAGTATCTTCAATACCTTCATCATCATCTTACTTGAAACTATACATCACTATCTTCACCTCATGTATCATCATGTTCGCCACCTGTATCGTGGCCACAACCTGTATCACCACATCAATCATCTTCACCATCCATATCATATTCACCACCTCTACTATAAATGTCATTTGCATCAAATGTTTTAATGATTAATTGTTCCCTACTTTTGTTTTCTTAAGAATGCTGATGTTGGCACTAAAACTGTGTGGTACAGTAAGAAAGTCTGGATTGATCAGGAAGATGCCACGGTCGTCAAGGAAGGTGAAAACGTGACATTCATCAACTGGGGCAACCTCATCATTCAGAAGATACATAAGTAAGCACAATAGTTGAAATAACATCCTCAGAGGTTAGGCTCATGTTGTGGAAGCTCGAATGATATGATTTCACAGCTTTGCTATCTTATTCTGTGTGTCCCATGTAATGTCTCTATTGTACATATCCTATTCTTATTATCCAATCTTAAATGTGCAAGGCCAAAGATTACCACAGTATTATCATAATGTAATGAATTACCATAACATAACAAAAACAAAATGACAGGCAGTAAAATAAAACTTTATAGAGTTTGCCGTTTTATTGTTTTGTTTGTGCAAACACAGTGAAAAAGAGCTTTGATGATGTGAACAATGAATTAAATAATTATTATGTAATACTTCTTTACTTTATAGAGATGACAGTGGTAAGATCACAAGCATTGATGCCAAGCTGAATTTGGATAATAAGGTAACAAATTGCAGTTACATTAAATATTAACTCTATCATTAGGTCAAAAATTAAGATAGTGTTCCCTAAGGCCAACTGAACCAAAATCATAAAAATCTGATATTTTTTGTTTTATTTAATTTTTCTTTTTTAACCAAAATACGTGATGTTTGAAAAGGCCACTTTTCATGCTTTAAATGATTGATTTTATACTTTTATCAATTTCAAGTTCTAATTGATAATGTATATTTATTAAAGGACTTCAAAAAGACCACCAAGTTAACCTGGCTGGCTGAAACTGAGAGGGCGCCCTTCACACCTGCTTGTATGTTTCATTTTGAGAACATCATTACGAAAGGAATTCTGGCAAAAGATGATAATTTCAAAGATTACATCAATTATAATTCAAAGGTAAGTAGAAAATAATAGCAAAGATGATAAATAAATAATATTTACTTGTGAAGACACAATTTTTCATATAATTAAGTATTATATAATAAAGTATACAGAACTGTTGAAAATTATGGAAAGTACTTTGAAAACTAAAATTATTTAGATGTGACATTCCACATAACTAGATACAGTATGCATGGTGACATTAATGTATTTTTATCCTCTCTACGACTCTATGACAAGGAATTTCACTTTAATAGTTCTATGTCATATTTATGGGCTCACTTTAAATTTGTGTTCTGTACTATATATGTCTTATTACTACCACTATCAAGTTATTTCACTTTGAAAGAAACTAATTTTTTGCATAAGGGTGTAACAAATTGGCTTATAAGTGTCATGTGAAAAATCACATTTTATTACAAGAAATATATTTCACTTTTATTCTCTAAACATTTCAGAAAGAAGCAATGTTGATTGGTGACCCAGAGTTGAAGAATCTCAAGAAAGGTGACATCATCCAGATACAACGAAAAGGATTCTTTATATGTGACCAGCCCTACATACCAGCTAGGTATGGTTCAATCCATTTTATATTCATATATGTTGTAATCTACACCTGTTGTAAAGAGAAGCAGTGTTTCTCTATACATTGTTCAGTACATATGTGCATTTAAAATGTTTGCTGACATCAATGTTTAAGGTATATTTCAATTAATAAAGCTACCATTTTTTTTGCACAGCACTTACTCAGGGAGAGCTGGTGCATGCATTCTCTTTAACATTCCTGATGGTCATTCGAAGGCACCAAACAAGGACACAGCAGCTGTTTCTAATGTGAGTAAGCATGGCATAACTAATGGTTGGTTGGTGGTGATGATATTATTTGTGATGATGATTTAAAATAGTAGTTTTAATGCAGACTGAAACATTTTTTAATTGGGACTAAAAACATTCTGCTTTGGTTGATGGTGGTGATAATAATTGTGATAAGAATAATTTACGCAGACCGAAACATTTCGATTGGGACTAAAACATTTCCACTTCAACGGATTGTACAACGTTCCTGCTCGTTTAATAGGGGAGAGAACAAGGCATATTTACTTTAGGGTGGAGACAAACATTCATAAACAATAAATACAAAGCATTCATGCAAAGTATGGCAGAATTAAAACACCTGGTTACTAACACTATTACTTATATATTACCATTTTTTTACACATACTGATAAAATTTATGATTGTGAATTTGATGATAATTGTGATGTTGAAAAATAGGAATCGAGTAAGATGAATAATAAGAAAAAATCTGCTGAGATTTCAAGCAAAGACCAGGCAGCCAAAGGAGGAAATAAATTTAAACCAGAAGCACTGGAAATGGTTGCAGATTCAGCTAAATTGGATGAATTAGTCAATCAAATCACAAAAACAGGAGAAGAGGTTCGAGCCCTTAAAGCAGCCAAGGAAGAAAAGGTAAGTTAATTTACCATATTTGGGTCTTTTTTTCATTTTCTAACGCTTTGAGAATTCTTTGAATTGGATGTGATTGTGAATTATGTTTTTGCCCTGCCTGATGTGTTATCATACTGAATGCTCAGTACGTTTCCAAATACTTGCGAAAAAAAATCTAGAAAGTTATCCAGGTGGGAATTGGACACACGACCTCCAGATAATAGCCTGGAGTCTTAGCCAATAGACCACTGAGCTTGCACTTAGTGGTTAGTGATGAATCCAATTCCGAAATAGCAGCAGGTACTGCAATGCTGTTCCGATGATGTTTGCATCGGGAGAAATAATACAATTTGTTATTTATTAATATTTGTTAATGTATAAGGTCCCTGAATTTTAATGAATGAGCAATTCATGGAATTTTGTAATAATAGTCATGAAAAAGTCATAGAATTGAAACTCACTCAAGTATTAACTCAAAGTGTAGAGACTCGCCTTTATTATATCCTTGGACCTTGTGCCTAAGAATTCACTCAAGTAGGCCTAGAATAGTAATTGTAAATATATTTACTTGTGTTTACAAACATTTGTTGTCATAAATTATTTAATTTCTAAAATAATTAGGATCTAATTGCATTTTTAATAACTAATTCAAATAGTTTAAGAGAATTTGATCAATACCAAATGGATATAGTACTGTGAAGTGATTTAATTAATTATTCCATAACTAGTGACAAGTTTAAATTTAGAAAGTGGTCAATATTTGATTTATAGACAGATGAATGATTGATAAGAACAAAATATTGACAGATATAAATATAAAAGAACCATTTCCAACTAGAAATAGACAATACACAAAGGATAGGAACAGAAAGTACAGTACAGTAGTTAGTAAAAAAGACTGTTGATTCAAGCCATTTGATGTGATCCCTAAATCAAATGCCCTTGTGGAAGAACCATTGAAATTGCCAACGTGGAAACAGGGGATTAGCTCAGAAGTTCCATCACCCTGTAGTGTAACTTAATATTTATCAACTGAGATTAGGAAGTATGATGGTTTGCTAAGTCCTTGTACATGTGCTTGCATCAGCTGTAAGTTTCACTTATACATTGCCAGCTTTAACTTTTTTATTACATTGTATAGGTTATTGAAAAATCAATATTAGAAAGGTTTTAACTTTCAGGAGTTAGAAAATCAATTGTGATTTCAAACTAGTATTTTTGGCCCCTGAAGCAGCTTAGTTATAGCCAACATTAGTTCACTAGTACTACATCTTGTTTGAGCTGGAGTTTGATTCTGTAGGAATATCAATGTACACTCAGTAGTAGTAGTTAGCCCATTGATGAATCCAGTGGCAGCACCAAACCCCACTGATATTCTACTGGTGTCCTTCAGAAATTGTCAGGCCCCTGTCGGATATCTTAGGGCCCCATACCTTGAATGCATATCGAAGAGCCACCAACGAAAGAAGCATTATATATTAGTAGAATATTTTATTATTATCATTATTGATTATTGTTATTCTTTATTATTAATATTATTTTTATTCTTTATATTATGGTAATTTATATATATATATATATATATATATATATATATATATATCTTATACTGTATGTAAATATGTATTGTTTTATTATTTTTATGCAATTCTATCATGTCTATATTACTAAGTGTAATAAATCTTTAAATTTATAAGCACTAAATAAAGCAGATTTTTGTCTTCATCAAACTATGCTATGTACAGTCTCACCAATTGACCACCACTGATCGCACATCTTGTGTTTGACCTTTTTTTGTTTATGTATAGGCCTCTATGGTTTGTTTCCTGTTATTAATGGTTAACATCATGATGATATGATCGCTAGTGCACTAATTTGCAAAGTTGTTTATACACAGCCACTCAATTATTATTACTATCATAGTAATGCTCTATAATGCTATGACCAAATACTTTCCATGGGTTTAGGGTTTTGTTTTTGACACTTTAAATCTTGGTATTGTGTAAGGATTAATTAAACACATTGTGATGAAGTTGAATATCTATCCATGTCAGTCTAGTTTTTAAATACTTACCTGAATAAACCAAATATTGATAAAGCTCAATTATGGCTATGTTCTCACACGGCAGCTAACGGTTAGCGGGATCCGGATCCCGCTAACCGTTAGCTGCCGTGCGTCCATGCGAGAAAATCCCGATCCGTATACCAACAATATGATGATCGAATCACTGACCAATGAGAAACTTGAAATTGTAAACGCGTACATGTGATTGGTTGATGATAGAAACGCCCTCAGCTTGCTAACCGATAGCACTTGCTAACCGTTCCGGATACCGCTAATGGTTAGCGCTAACCGATCGGGCGTTCTCACGCAGGTGCTAATCGTGAGAACCAGGCTTGCGTGGGAACACCCCTCCAAATTTTGTAACTTGTTCAGCAAACCCACCGCTCGCCAATAATGATGTTTTCGAATAAAAATGAAACTTAATTTTTGGCCAATTAGTGAACCCACTGTCACAGAAAAATGGAAATTTCAGATAGAAATTTTTCTTTATTTTTATTACAACCGCCGATGCCTTAAAATCTCCAAAAATAAGATATGTATATTTCTTCCTAATTATATAAATTTAAAGCATTTAACCATCCCATTACTACACTAATTACATTCACCAATAACATTTTATTTTATCTTCTCCTCCATCTGGATGTATTTGGCAAAAATATTTGCTAAATAAGAAAAATTAATTTTTTCCCCCCACCTTCCTCTGACAATCTTTAAAAAAAAAATAATTTTGTGAAACAAGGTATAAAAAAAGTCTTGCCTAATGGTACACAGGCTGCTGCAAAGCATATGGTGGAACCATTATATTGTGAGGGGTATTCCCCCATTTATTGAGTTTTTCCAAAATTTGATTTATCCAAATATATTATCAGAAGACTGCCACCTTTTTGTGTAATTTACATAATGCGTCTTTTTTAGTATGACTTACATTATTTATAATTATTGTTGGTTCCAGTATTGTTTTTGTTAGTAATATAGTACAAAATTTATAAATTTTTATCTTTTTAATTTTAGTCAAAAATAGATGAGGCGGTGAAGGTACTCTTAGCCCTAAAAAAAGAATACAAAGGCCTAGTTGGGAAGGACTACAAACCAGCCTCCAGCACCCCAGCTAAAGACACCAAAGCTGAGAATAAAAGCAAATCAAACGATAAACAACAAGCTAAACCTAAACCATCTATGCAAGCAAGCATGAGTGCTAGTCCAGAAGTAGATGCCATTGTGCAGAAAATCACTGCCCAGGGAGAGAAGGTTAGGACCCTGAAAAGTAATGGGGCTGACAAGGTAGGTGGTAGGCCTAGAGATTAAAACCTGACATTTTGGTTTTTTTAGGTGATAGGTTGAATCATGTGTGAACTTAGAATAATAGTAATAATAACATAATATTTTAAAAGTGCATATTAAATTATAAACAGGCATAGAAAATTGATCGCAGGCTTACTATAAATGTTGTATATCACCTGAAAAATGAATATCTTTTAATTTTGCTTCTTGTCTGTAGGAGCAAGTAACAGCAGAGGTACAGATTCTCCTGAAGTTAAAGAGTGAATACAAAGAGAAGACGGGGGCAGAATACAAGCCTGCGGGTGGTGGTGGTGGAAAAGGAAAGAAAGATAAAGGCGCTAAGGAAGAGAAAAAGAAGAAAGTAGAAAAAAAGAAAGAGGAAAAGAAAGATAAGGAGGAAGTAGCCACAGACGATAAAAAACAGACCAGGCTCTGCATAGAGGCAAAGAAGGATGAGAACTTATCAGATTGGTATTCCCAGGTCAGTTTTTTTATCCTGGGGCACATTTGTTTCTATGGCAACAACCAATGTAGTCAGTTAATGGACCTTTCTGGAGTGTCAATGAAACTTAACAACTGACCAATCAGAACAGGGCATTACACTATCATTTTGTGGGACCTTGGCAACAAGGGGCGGGCTTCCCATTATGTTAGTAAACTAATTACATACTGCAGTCCTTACTAATGTATGAAATTTTTGGTATCGGCTATTAATGGAAACATTCCGTGAGGTTGGTTTACAGCCGGTCACGTGACATATAGTGGGTATTACTATGGAGAATTTATAATGCGATCAGTGTTAAAGTATAGGAAGGGTAATGTTATGGTTTCGAAAACATTCACCCGCCATTAACGTGAGAAATAACTGATAAAGAAAGGCACTACGATTGTTCAAATTAATGTTTATTTACTTATTCTAGCGTTCAGTGTGATTTGTATGCTTTTGAATTTATGTGATCCTTTGTAATCCTTTGTAAACCTAAGCTAGCCTAGAAATCGTAGCATGTCAAATTAGCAGTTCGCGGATCGAAGACTCTTGTGCATATCAAAACAGGCTGTAACTGTCAGGTATTCATTCCATAGTGTTATGCTCATCAGTTCCATGATCAGTAACCACATTCAATTAATTTTTATGATCCACAGGTTATTACAAAGTCTGAGCTAATTGAGTATTACGACGTGAGCGGATGTTACATCCTCCGCCCCTGGTCCTACAGTATATGGGAGTTCATTAAAGATTTCTTTGATAAAGGAATTAAGAAGCTTGGTGTGGAAAATGTCTACTTCCCAATGTTTGTCTCGCAAGCAGCACTGGAACGAGAAAAAACTCACATAGCAGACTTTGCTCCTGAGGTAAGTTAGTATTGTCTATTCAAGACATATGTCTTTGTTGATTACAGTATTTTGGTTTTGTTTTATTGAATTTAATGTTTTGGGCTTAAATAATCCACATTAAACTTATATTATTTTTGAACAATAAAACTAGACAGGTTACAAATCAATTGAAAGGTTACACAATACATAATTATTCACTTTAAAAAAAATTATATTTTCTGGTTTCACCTAAATATATACTGTATACAGACATACTTAATATTTGAATGGTTGCTTCCCAGGTTGCCTGGGTAACAAAATCGGGTACCTCAGACTTGAACGAGCCAATTGCAATTCGACCAACTAGCGAAACAGGTAAGAATTTTTCGCTTCGTTTGTTACCAGGACTATTTTCAGTGTCATGTTGAAAAAAAATGGATAAATAAATATGATGTGCATATCACATCACACACTAAATTGAAAGATTTGATTTTTAAACACAATGGCAATATAACTTTTATGTGTAGCTTAGTAGTGGAAGTAAAGCCCCTCATTTTGTTAGTTGTACAGTATGTATATGTTTTTTTTTTATGGTATTGGATTCTTGAGTTAGTTAACTTTTGTTGCAATGGCAACTTGTTAAACATTAACTTAGTGTAAATATCAACTACTTATAGTGAGTTGTCAATGTAACATATCAGTCAACAATTAAACAGATCAATACGAGTACCAAATGAACTATTAAGAGAAAACAATGTTGGGGTACTATACTTATCTTTCCTTATCTGAGAAGTCTGGTTCCACATCAGAATACTGGATGAGTGTGGCACTCAAACCACTGCTGATATTATGGCTATGTCTTTAATAGCCGCTCATCCAATCAGCTCATCACAATGACACCTAGGTTGAAAATCCTCTGTATTATTGCATAAGAACAAGAACAAAAACTGATCTGCCCTTAATTTTTGCTCATTATGATGAAGTATTTATACAATTGTGATTATTGTAATGTTTTTGTTGTTTCAGTAATGTATCCAGCTTATGCCAAATGGATCAAATCTCATCGGGATTTGCCTTTGAAGCTCAATCAGTGGTGTAATGTTGTTGTAAGTTATACTCATTATCAGAAATTTCTTCTAACATTGACAGTAATAAATGTATATATTGCACATGAAACAAAACACTTTTATTAGTTGTTTTAATTAAAAAATGTGTTGCTTTCAGTTTGAGTGTTGTTTAAAAATTGGGGTCTGTGACCCACATAAAATCAGCTCATAGTCTATCAGTTGTTGCATGCCCATCCCAAAACCAGCAGCAATGGCCAAAATATGAAAATTGACTTTTCATTTTATTCTTACCCTCCACATTGTAAGCTTTGAAATGAGAGGTAATTTACTGGAATCGACTTACTATTGCAAAGTTATGAGTAAAAGTATTACAGCTTCTCTGCACTAAAGTATACAATTCTGTCACATTGTTATGCTAATTACTCAATTTAATCATGGAGAAAGCTATTTCCTCCATAGTTTAACATATAGCGGCAAAACACTGGTTTGGGATGGCATGCCTCAATTACGTGTTGTGAATGCTTAAATAATAAAATATATTATTTAAAAATATGTAACTCGTTCCTGATGATGTTCGAATAAAGAACGAAATATTAAATCATGGCTTCTCTTAGTCTTTTTGGAGTCTGCATGATATTATCTTATCTAAATATCATCAGTATGTACCCCATTCATTTCACTTTTTTAGAGATGGGAATTTAAACATCCACAACCATTCTTACGTACCCGTGAGTTCTTGTGGCAAGAAGGACACACAGCATATGCCGACAAAGAGAGCGCTGTTGAGGAAGTGCATAAGATTCTAGAGTTGTACGCAGCAATCTATGAGTATCTTCTCGCCATTCCTGTCGTTAGAGGGCGCAAGACAGAGAAGGAAAAATTTGCTGGAGGCGATTTTACTACAACAGTGGAGGTGTATATATCAGCAAGTGGCAGAGCTATTCAGGTAAAGAGAAATTAAACATTTTTATATTTTTATAAGCAAGGGAATAAAAGGGAGAATGAAAATGTTTTGTATTCTAATTTGTTTTATACATTTAATGGTTGTGAAATACATTAAATTGAAAATATTTTTTTCAAATACAAACAAGGTATACAAATATGGTAACAGAATATTATCAACAGGCTATGCATCTAGTGAACAGACATAGAGAGGGTCATGGACTTTAAAAATTAGTTGTTCGAAAGTAGCTTTATTCGTTATTTGAACTTTGAATTTTGTTCTATTTTCAGGGAGGAACATCGCATCACTTAGGACAAAACTTCTCCAAAATGTTTGATATCACCTTTGAGGATCCTAAAATGGTGAGATTAACATGATACTTAACTGATAATAAACAAATTAACAAATAAGGATTTAAAACAAAGATTTAAGCCATATTTTTTGGATTCCTATCATTTGTATAAATAATTTTTAACTGAAATCTACTGTTTTAATTTTGTGTGCTTTTGGTTTACTTGGCAGCCAAGCAATCACTTATATGTTTACCAGAATTCATGGGGTGTGACGACGAGAACAATTGGTGTGATGTGTATGGTCCACGGAGATGACAAGGGGCTTGTGCTACCTCCAAGGGTTGCTTGCGTTCAGGTATGCTGGAGTTCTACAAGATGTTGTGTTACTATATATTTTGCAGTGTTACATATTCTTATTGAGTATGTAGCATAAATATTTTTTGAATAAGGATGGATTTTTAAATATATATATATATTTATGTTAAACGGTTATTATATTTTTCTTAAAACAAATTTATTGAATGTTATTTTCAAATCATTGATGTGTTTTGGCTGCTAGGTTATCTTGGTGCCATGTGGAGTCACAGCAAAGACAACTGAGGAGGAGAAGGATGCTCTGCAGAAGAAATGCCAACAATATGTAGATCTCTTCAATGAGAATGATGTCCGCGCTAAAGGAGACTTCCGGGATAATTACTCCCCAGGATGGAAATTTTACCACTGGGAATTAAAGGTAACTTATAATTATGAAGATATGTTAATTTTTATCTCCAGGAAATTGGCAGTCTCCCATATTTCTGCGAGCAGGAAGATATCTCCTAGAAATTAACCCTTTTAGCATTATCAATTTTCTCTCTGAAGGCAAGTGTCTATAAGTATCACCACATGCACAAAAATGTGTTTCATGTCAATTATCACGCCATCACTCCCAATGTTATTTTCCTATCCCAAACTGTGCAATAATTTTTTATCAGGACCCGGTTTAAAAATATTTTTTAATGCAGTAATCTAACATTCATACAATAATTTTCAATAGTGTATGATATGCAACTATACTAATTGCTTATTAATAATGTTCAATAAACCGGATCTCCTAACTGGAGCCACTGTAATAATTACCAAATTGACTTTAGTATAACCAGGACCCCTACTTTGAGGTAAATAAAAATACAGATGAAAGGAAATATAAAGATTGTATTTTAATTAACTTTTACCAATTGTTTGTCACCAGGGAGTTCCAATACGTGTGGAAGTGGGTCCAAGAGACATGAAGAACAACAAATTTGTTGCAGTGAGACGAGATACTGGAGAAAAGACGACATTCCAGGAAGATGATGCAGTAACCAGTGTTAAAAACCTCCTTGAATCCATTCAAGCATCCATGTACAAAAGGCAAGTCAAACATACAATTGTATTTCTGGTTTGCTGCCCTCAAGAGGCAGTTTGCTATCTCATTTTTCTGTCTTCATAAAATATATTCTCCCTTTTTTACCTCTGTTCATGATAACATATCTACTTTATTATATACTATTAATGTTGCAGAGCTGATGAAGAACTTGCTGATCATCTGAAGGTTGCAATGACATGGGATGAATTCTGTACGAGTCTTGACAACAAAAATGTATGTCCAAAATGAGAATAAAATAGCATAATATAAAATTACAGACTATAATCATTGATTTGTTGCATTTAAGGTATATATAATGAATGCGAATAATATTAAAATATCAACACTTTTCTTTTTTACAGCTTATTCAGGCACCATTTTGTGGGGAGATTCCTTGCGAAGATAAAATCAAGAAAGACAGCGCAAGGTAAAATATATATTGGTGTAAATTAGGTATAAATGGCAGAGAAAATAAGACATCATTTTAATTTTGTTAGCTATGAATTTAAAACTCATTATGTGATGAAATATATTTTTTCTCTCTTAGGGATTTGGATGTAGAGCCTGGAGCGCCCTCTATGGGAGCTAAGGGTCTGTGCATCCCATTCAAGCAACCAGCCAAACTGACTGCTGATATGAAATGTATACACCCTGACTGTGGCAAGCCAGCTATATGCTACTGTATGTTTGGACGTAGCTATTAAAGTACCATCAATAACAAGACAATGTTAAACATCATTTTACAAGACAATGGCCGTATTCGACTGTTTCGTTTCGTTGACAACGATATTTCGTTGAGTATCATTTTCTTTCGGTTGGTTTGAAAAATTTACTTCGTTGACAATGGAAATTAACGTAAACCAGAGTGTGTTAAAGTGTTATCCACATGACCAAAACAAACATGTCTAATTGGTCAGTTAAGCAACAACATATGTGTTAATATAATATTTACTTACATAAAGACAAAAAATAATTGTATTCTAACAGAAATTCAAAAACTGCATGAAAACATTTTTTTTACAAAAAACCCATACTGCCCCAAGCTGAAGCAACCTTGATTATGCTAGCGTGTATCACACATGTATCGCTGTAACTACGCAGCCATTTTGTTTTGTCAAGTATTTACCAGTTTTCTATTTGTCTGGTCGTCTTCGCTAAGTAGGATTTTACCACTACTCAAGTAGAACAACCAGTTAAATACGGCCATTGATAAACATTATACCAAATGTTAGATAGCTGATATTATATTATTTTAATAATGCAACATTGCCTTGCCTTGTGTGTGTGAGGTTTTTTTTTTTTTATTTTATCTGAAAATTATATAAAAAGTTAATGTTTACCCGTCATGGTACACCTTTTTATTAGAACCAACCACCTTCATTACCACCCCCCCTTCTCCTATTATCCATAATAATTTAATTTTTTCTGCAAGGTGTATTTCATCACTTTTTATAAGTGCTTAACAACTGCAGTAGTATTTTTATAATTAAAGTTAATGAGTGTACTCCAATTAATTTGTAAATTAAAAGTTAGTAAATACAAAATAACAAAGCACAAGACAAGTGTTTTCTTCAAACTCAGCTTTATTTACAAAGCTGATGACAAGACCGTCACCAATGTTTATGGAGTGAGCCCTCTATTATCAGCTTATTAAAATAGCACATTTTAATATAAAAGCAGTAAAAAATGCATCATGGTATAGCTTATTGATTTATCAAAAAATAAATCACATACCATTACTAACTGGTTGCTAAACATACTAGAATAATGCAGGCAAGTGTACGCTTTTTACCAACGCATTGAACATGAATTTTGCTATGCGGAACATCAAAATTTATCATATATGCGATTTTTATGCAAAAATGCCTTTTCGAAAAATAGCTGCAGCATTTAATTGACATATATGCTATTAATAAATGTCTGAGCACATCATTAAGATAACATTGATACCAATGTCTTCCTGTTTCATATCATTGTGACACTATTAAACAACCAATTACTCACATAATTTTAATACATTTTAATAATTTACAACATATGGTACCATTCTAATGCTAAGTGCTCTTAGGAATCGTCCAAAAATTTTAATAAGTGCTGAAGCACTTAATTGGTTAACTAATATAAGCCAAAGTATTTGGTTGTGTGTATTTCAACAGAAACTTCTTTCTGGTTGTTTCATTCGTGTAACTCTAATGTCCTATCTTTAACTTATTAATTTGATTGGCTTATATGTTTTAATATGATATGCTCAACTTGACATTGTCAATCCTTTCATAAACCAGTACAGATTGACCAAAAGTTATCATAATATTTAATATTTCATTAATGAAAGTATCAGTTTTTTGTTGATTAAACATCTGCTACTTTACATAATGCATTTTTTCATCTTGTTCGAGAGTTCAATTGATAACATTTCACAAGACTGCATTTAAACCACAGCAAGTCCAAGGTAGGGGTTGTGTCCTACACTAAAGGCCGTTTTCCATTACGCGAATGTATTCGCTCAAATCGAAGGAATCGTTTCATGCGCATGAACATTCACATTTCTATCCAAAATATTTGCTTCAGTGAAATAAGTATTTCGAACTTTTTCTACTTTTTGCGAAGCCAATCAGAGCTCAGAAAGCGAACTGACGCTATAGATTTCGCGCGAGGGAACATAAATTATGATGACGTCAGAAAAAACATTTGCATCGAAGTGTCTAACTTGTAGGCGTGGGTAGTACTTCGCTTCGTTGGAAAGTTGCTGAGCAAGAAAGTTACACTCAAGTAGTTATAAATCACCTTTTTTTTCCAGTTAGTGCCACTTACTTAATCTACCTAACCATCGCTCCCCTCATCATTGCCATCACTCCGCCCCCTCGTAATATTCCTAGATAAACCCACTCCACACGTGATGCTTCATAACGTGACGTATGTATTTCCAGATATTGAACTTGAACTGTAGCTTTTCCGTAGAAGGCTAGCTCCTTCTTTTATTTCCTTCACTCTCCCATTCCCTAATATGCTGACGATGTTTCCGTTTCTCGTACGAAAAAATTTCAAAACGAACGGAAAGATGATTGCGGACTCCAGTGTCAGGATCAAGCACTGCCATCCTATAGAAATGGATTGAATAAGGCATAATTTTTTAAAGCCATCGCGTATTGTCGTTTAAACAAGTATACTCCGTCTGAGAATTCAATTCAAAACTTTAAGCTCCAGTTATAAACTGTTTATACAGTAGTACAAAATAAGATTTACAACAAACATGCTCGATCAACAAAAATAGTGCAATAAAATAAATTTTTAAAAAGTTCGAAAGAGGGAAACAACGTAAGAACACAATATCAAAATATTTAAATACAGCTACATGAAACTATTATACAGTAAATCAGTAAATTAAACATTTCAAATATATTCGTCAATGATTCTTTTAAATTGGTTTAATGACAGGATTTTGTGGTCAAAGTTTAAATTATTCCACAAGATAGTACATTTATATGAAATTCTGTGTCTTTTTTATTCGGTTTTGGGATGAACAAATTTGAATAACCATGACGAAAATTATAATTGAAATTATTGCATTGAACTAAGTTTGTAAGTTTGGTTTTTCTGTTAAAATTTTAAATACAATAATTAAGCATTTCATTTCATAATGGGATCGGGACTGTCCAACTGCTATAATGGTAAATGTAAGTGCAGATAATTTACTTTGTCGACTTACGATTGTGGCGGGAATCCGTCGGGAATGGATCGTCGCAAGGTATGACGTCAGTAAGAACGAGAATTCCGAGGAAAATAATTTGAATATTGCTACAAATTAACGCAAGTTGCACCACTATGAACTTAGGTGTCAGTTTGAAGCCGTGTAGTGGTTCACGTGACGCACGGTAAAACATGATGAATGCGTATATCGCAATTATCGTTGACGTCAGCGTTATTATATTTACGTATAGGAACGCTTCGTCCGACGCTAACTGAAATACAAAAAAATATACGTACGTATTAACAGATTCATTTAATTAATTAATGTTTAGGTTCAGGATATGCCAATAAAACGAACTTACTAAGTGGCAATCCTTTCACAAGACAAACGTAATAAACAAGATGCTCAAACTAAGTCTCATAATGAGGCTTGGAGAGTGCAGTTATTTTGGTTGTGAGAAAACAATCCTGTTGCCGTGACAGGACCTGACAGAACGCTGGGATTGAAAGGTAAGTATCTTAACCACCAAGCTATTCAAAGGCCCACCTCATCAGTATTATCAGTTTCGTTCATAATAAACAATGAGGGAAGGATAATGTGCTGACGTGCAAAGCATCGAGCGGGGATGGGGTGATTTTAGACGTAGGAGTCTCCTCCCATTTGACTTTTTTTGAGAATTAGTAGACACGGCTAGATATTCTTAAATGGCATCTGAAAAGAAGTTAAGCTTAAAATAGAAAGTGTCTGTTTTATCGGAGTACACGTAACATAATAGGCCTATTTAGGTCTATGCCTACACGAGAAGCACACACACAAGACGAGTAGGCCTAACCATTTTTTTCAAGGTAACCTAAGGTGGATGGCTCGCCATCATATTCACTCCACCCCCCCCCCCCCCCCCCCCCCCCCCCCCCCCCCCCCCCCCCCCCCCCCCCCCCCCCCCTCCCGTGACAGGACCTGACAGAACGCTGGGATTGAAAGGTAGGCCTAAGTATCTTAACCACCAAGCTATTCAAAGGCCCACCTCATCAGTATTATCAGTTTCGTTCATAATAAACAATGAGGGAAGGATAATGTGCTGACGTGCAAAGCATCGAGCGGGATGGGGTGATTTTAGACGTAGGAGTCTCCTCCCATTTGACTTTTTTTTTTAGAATTAGTAGACGGCTAGATATTCTTAAATGGCATCTGAAAAGAAGTTAAGCTTAAAATAGAAAGTGTCTGTTTTATCAGAGTACACGTAACATAATAGGCCTATAGGTCTATGCCTACACGAGAAGCACACACACAAGACGAGTAGGCCTAACCATTTTTTTTTCAAGGTAACCGAAGGTGGGTGGCTCGCCATCATATTCACTCCACCCCCCCCCCCTACCAACTAAATATGCCACTGCCATGGCCACATGATATATTACTTACCGATCCCGGAACGTATGTTCCGTTTAGCCACAGTACTTCTGTGACGAACAAGACAAATGGCCTTATCAAAGCGCATTGGAACACCGCTATCTTTATACGAAGTAAATTTTTCCTGTAACAAAAATTGTATAGTTTTGCAATCATTTAGGAGTGTTTTTAGAGCTAACAATATTTTTTCAATGTCAGGCTTAAGCATAAAATCTGCATAGTTTTTAGGAAGCGCATGAAAATCATTCTATCATGCATTATGGTTACATTGTATTAAGATAAAAAATATTCTGTATAGCTTCGAACTTACTCTGTCATTTTAAAGGTGGGTAAGCAAGGGAAGAAACAGCCGATTGGCGGACTTCGTAGTGACACCTCAATATTACTCATCTGCAGTAGGATTGAATCATGCCCTCCATAGTAATCGATTATTAAAACGAAGAATTGATAAAGACAAACGGAGAAATATCTATAAAATAAACGAAGGTTATGCGCTCATTAAAATGTTCGTCTGCACTAAACTAATAATTACTTCAACTATAAACTTCAATAGAACAAGGTCGAAAGCGGTCCGGTTTTGGCCGGACCAAAAATTCATGCGAAAATTGTCATTTTAACGCAACATAGTTTTTTTTTTTTTTTTTTACAAAAGTACTGTACTATATGGCCTGACTCAGCACACATAACCACGCACCTACGCTCGGAAAGGATACCGTTTTTAAGTAGGCCTGATATATGAAATTGACTACCGTCAAGTTTAAAAATTTGAAAATATTTTTGGACTTTTCAAACACGCCTTGTAAAGATAATTATAATTCATGTAAATTTCAGAAACATTTCATTGCATACATTTTCAAGTACAGTTAGTCCTCCAATTCGGGTCTCGAATTGGAAGGTGCACTTTCTAACCAACCATGTATATAATTGTAATATCCGGAAATTCGTGTATATAATTATTATTTCCACTGTATAGCTTACAGTATTTATGTATCTTCTGTTGTATATCCAAAGAATAAACATCTCAATGTGTGATAGGCCTAATCATAATATTCAGAAACTTTCGATAATTATTATTTCCATTGTCTAGTTAATGGTTTACAATATTTATGTACTCTTATATAACCAAAGCATAAACATCTCAATTCAGGCGGAAAATAATTCTACCATTTCACAATAGGCTTACACTCTATTCATACAAATTTTATTTCTATTTTAGTATAATTTTAACTTCTGCGGTCAATTATAGCTTTGTCCAATATGAGTGCTTGCATGGGCCCAATCTGTAGCAGGTTCTCGCATAACGCACAGCAATGTCTTCTTGACTCAAACCAGTTAAACAGATAAGAAACAGAAAGTCTTAATATTTCGTAAGTTGGAAAATACCAGGGCGATCTGAAGAGAACAAAACCATGAACCCTCCGTCGAAAAAAAAGAACACTATTTTCTAGTCTCAGGATGCCATTTCCGCGCATCTAGAGGTGTCTAAAAAAATCTTATCATTGGCCGGACCAATAGTATTTGCTTCCTACGGGCTTGATAATTATAATGAATGCTTATTTTGTATAGTTTTTAAACGATAAAGAGTGACAATTCAATTAATGTTTATTGGGAATGGTGGCGGGAGGGAGGACGACGTCATTGAGTACGAGAAGGGTATCGTCAACGTTGATGATGACTTCGAAAACGTTTAGATGATCTTGATGTAGATGATAATGGTATTATTAATAACGATGATGATGCTTATGTCATAAGTGATAGCATCGCTCGGATCTGTTTTACTTACACAGATGCAGTCAAATTGCATAGTACTGCAGATCTTGGTATGTACAAACCTAGAAGTGACGTCAGACAGAAAACCTTCCAAAAAAAAAACAGAGAATGAAACTATTAAAAATATATAGGTGTATGTCCTTTTTAATGTTAATCTAATCGTCATTAATATGATTATTTTATTGTTATTATCGCCATGCTCTGCGCCGTCGACGACGTTGTTCTTTACAAACAGGCATATGGGCCAATTACCAATATGAATAAGCATAGGCCTATCACATTGAATTGAATGATGATCTTTTCTTACGATGTCTCTCATATGTAATACTTACAGGGTAAATTCCCAGTATCCAGATAATACAATTGCGTCGATCTGTGTACGGGATCGTAGACGCTACGTAATGCGCAGCCTCACAAAACAATATACACTCGATTATTGTTATGATGGTACACACTACCAGGATAGAGATTACGCCAGGATGATCACCAATAGCTGAAAGATAAAATTAATAAGACTAATAATAATGATGATGATGATAATGATGTCTGATGATGATGATAATGATGATGGCCGGCAATTAATGGTAATGTCAATAGTATAGCAATAACAATAATAATCTATAGCATTGCAGTACCCGCTGCTACGTTGGGATCGGGTGCAACATTAATCACTAAGCGCATGCTCGGTGGTATAATGGTTATAGCACCAGGCTAGTTTCTGGAGGTCGTGGGTTCGATTCCCACCCGAATCACTTGCGATTTTTTTAAGTATTTGGAAACGTACTGAGTATTTAGTACGATCACTTTAGGTGGCAAAACATCACTCTTATAATAATGAGTTTATAAACATCCAGTGTTACATAGTTTACCGTACAGGTTTGAATATTGAATTATTTAATGAATATTAAAAATATTAAACTAGGCCTACTATAGACCTTGATTTGTTGCTTTAATTTCGATAACACCAGAGCTATGGAGTAACCTCAATAGCATTACTCTGTAGACATTATATGTACATGAACCTGATTCCTGTTAAATTCGTTTTAAGCGAAAATAAAATTATGAATAAGCACAAAAAGCGAAGAAATGTGAATTAAACTGAGACTTTACATAGATATATACCTAGGCATAAAATAACTTACTTTCGAAAAGTTCGCCAGCCGTTGGGTCAAAGTCAGGACACGTATCATTTAGTGGTGTCTTGGTCGTTGTACCAAACATAACGTCCCTCATATTCCTAAAACATGATTGTGTACATAGTATAGACACATTAATATGACATCACCACCTACCTACCTACCCAACCATCCCACCTAACTAGAATAAACTAAATTCAGAATTTTCTCTATTGACTTTGAAATGATACCAATATTTTAATCAGTTGCTCATAAACCATTTATAATCCCTGTATTACGCATAATATTAACCCGTTAGATTTTATACACTCTGTGTAGGCTACATCATAGGCATAAGGTAATCAATCAATATTGTTATTCACGAATGAAATATGCATACAAATAATTGTTATGAAATATTCGTTCACCGATGGTGTTCTTCCACGAATTTGTGATAGATCATAGAGGCCTACCGGGCCAGAATAATACTAATTTCACATTCAATCCAGTTATTCTGCTACTTCTGCTGCAAAGACACATTAAATATCATTGAGTTGGTTGTCGTCACATTATAGCAATAATAAAAGCATTGAAATTCTTCAGATTATACCGGTCGATCTCGTGACATTAGAAAATTAACAGATGCAATAAAATATTAATAAGGATATGTGAAAGTGATCATATAAAAGTAAAGTGAAGTCGGAGTGGCACTCCTGTTTAATAACGATTTGAGAGAGAGGTGATAATTACGCAGAGTGCATTGGCCCGGAATGATAACGAGATAGTAATAAAAATGTATACTTTTTTTTTTATAAGAACCAGTCAAATTTTGCCCAGGCTCAGTGTTCTTATTTTTTGGCCAATTTTAGGCTCAAAATGTTCTTATTTTTTTCTAATTTTACACACTTTTGTATTTATACACTGTACTGGGAGGTGAAGCGGCCCTGCAAAAAAATGGCCCCTGAATGAAAGGCCCAGCAAAAATGGTCCCGGTTAAAAAATGCCCAAATGGGAGGTAGGTACACCTAATGTACTGTATTATAGAGGGTATTGCATAGTCACACCTAACGCACATAAGCTGGTACAGATATAATTTTTTGGTTTTTCTAGTTTGACACTCTACCTCAGCCTCAATTTGTTCTTATTTTGTTCTTAATTTTTAAGCAATTTCAGCCACCGTGTTCTTATTGTGTTCTTATAGAAAAAAAGTGTGTTACTGTATTTTGATAATAGCAGATTAATTGCCTTTAAAACAAAGGCTCAAAAAATGTGCAAAAACACCTTACTCCCACCAAAGTATATGCCCAGCCAACAGAGTGAAACCCAAGGGTCTATAAATTACAGTACCTACTAAATTTACTGAATCGAGTACGTACCTTAAATACTGATGGCTTTATCGTATTGCGTTTCAGGAAGTCAAGAATCACAGTCAAATATGTAATAACACATTGTTCACCGACATTAACTAAATCTCAAATCCTGTATCACAATATTCTTGGCCGCATTCTGATATATCTCATACAAATAACGTCCCTACTTATAGTGTTTTATAGATTGTTCAAGATTTAACATCCAAGTTCATACCCCTAAGTATAGTAGAATCACTATCCGTAACATATCAACCAAAATAGTTCTGTACCAAAATTCAATGTGCTATGGCTGCGATCCAATCACGATCTCTTCACAGGCCTACTTATTGCTAACATATTAGTTCCTCAACGTGATTATGGCGTGGTTTAAGTGTAGGAATCGCAATTCGACCTTTATCCACTGAAAATCGATAACAACGTCCACATTGATATCGGGTTCATGTGTAACTTCTTGATCAAATCCCAATCGACTTCCTAATCTCCCTAATATTTACATTTTGGTATCTACTATAACTACTGACCTGACGTCACGAATTAGGAGCATGTGACATAGTGGAAAGGTTCCGGAGAAAGAACGTGGAAGGAGGACGTGGTTCGATCTTGAGGCTGGCCAATTACAAGATAACGCTAAACTTTACAAATTTAAATAAAGGCTAGTTATCAATAAATCAAAATCAAATTTTGTCTACGCCTGTCCTGTGAAGGGATTGATTAAGCTCGCTGTTTAGCATATCCCTAGACGGTCGTCTAACTGAATAGGCGGCCTAAAGAAACGAAAATATAGGCCTATATGAAGAATAACACATTAAACAGTAATATAATAAATGTCTTTTAATAAAATAACGATATTTTGTATATTTTCAACAATGTTCAAACACGTGACTAAATAGAAATACCCTCATCGCATATCATTTTCCTTGGTTATACCTTATATGGTAAATAGTCCTTTATGTTGTAGCAATCTCTTTATACAATATGATGCCATTCTCTTATTCTAATGATCCTCTTAAGCTCTTGTCTACACTATCAAATTTTATGTGACAATATACCCATACATGGGCATGATGATGTCATATTACACCCAAATATGGACATACTGCATCACATTTCATTGTCACATAAAATTTGGTAGTGTGGAAAAAGATTTAAATAAAGTGGGACATGAATGGGACCCACTATTAAGATCTTCATATCAGCTTCACATATTTACATAACTGAATGTGAGCCTACATTATTCCTTAAAATAATGCTGAAAATGTAAACATACTGAGCTTTTCAACCCAGCAATTGGCTATGACAAGCATAAAACATAAAGAAGAACATAAATACAGTAACAAGTTAATTCTTGTTCAAAGATATACATGACAATACCATCAGGTAAATCTTAAAGTAATGCCACAATACTTTTACTTTCACAAACCTTCAAACTAATGTTTAAAATTTCACTCCAAATGTGAATCCACTTGGCACAATTCGCCACTAGAAATGATTATACTGCCCAGATTTTTCTGTCGCTGAAGAGAAATAATACCATTTTTTCCAGATACAAAATTGAAATTTAAACTTCTTCTTTCAATGTCTGGCAACACTGTGTATTTTATGTGTTTTTGTATCTGTACTTTGCCCTCTTTAATTGATTTTTAATTGTTGCATTCTCTTGAGTTGGTCTTTACTTCCTGTTTCTCATCATGTCCAGGAAATTTCATTCATAATCCTCTTTCACTTTGTCAAATAATAAAAGTATATTTAAACATAATATTTATAGTCATTTTTAGATAATAAATTGCATTTTAATGCAAACAAATTTGTCCACATATTTTTTTTTCCTTTGGTTTTGTCAAACTGAATGGTTGCTATGGTAAATTAACAAGCTGTAACTGTATGCGTTGCCTTTCTTTATCAATGTTCAAGACCATCACCTCAACTTTGTCCCCCGGTCCAAACTGGCGGCCAGCTGCTACAAGGTGCTGGGGTATTTTGCTTGTGTGAATCAAACCACTTTTCTGAACACCGATGTCAACAAAGACGCCAAAATGTGTGACGTTGGTGACCCTGCCAGGGTAGACTGAACCGCATTTGAGGTCATCCATCGACATGATTCCAACCTTGAAAAGTGGTTTGTCATATTCTGTAAAATGAAATAAAAATGAGTCATTTTTAGAATAAATCAGATAAACTTTTGTTTAAAATTCGTTGGCAATATCATGTTACAAAATGATAAAATTATACATACAATGAATCGTTTCTATTGATGGTTCACCCAGACTAGCACTAACAATCAGCAGTGGTGTATTCTTAAAAGCTCACAGATGATGGAGAAGGAATCGTTGGCTGAGAGTCGTTTGACTGGCGTATGATGCAGTGTGTGCCCGGCTTAAATAGCAGAATTACCCATAATTCCTACCTGCTCTGATGTCATATCCTATAGGCTGCTTCAGTCCGTCAATGATTAGCTCCATTGTGTGCACACCCACATCCAGATCATCTGCAAACTTTCTTATACCTACAAGAAAAAATGAAAAAAAAAGTACTGTAGTAGTGAAAATCACTAGTTCTCATACGATTCCCAGTTTCTGTAGCATGAAGTTCTCATATGATTCTCAGTTTCTGTAGCATGAAGTGTGATACTACCCTGGATGGGACACTAGTCCATTGCAAGCTACTCCCAGCCATTATTATTATTTTACTTAACCATTGCTTTGAGTGGAACAACTGGTAATCAGTGAATAGCATTGTTGTATTATACTATTGAACAATGTAAGTAACTTGAAATAAAAGGAATTGTACTCGCAAACGTAAATGTGTGTGTACATTTAATTATTTTACTTAACCATTGCTTTGAGTGGAACAACTAGTAATCAGTGAATAGCATTGTTGTACTATACTATAGAACAATGTATGTAACTTGAAATAAAATGAATTGTACTCGCAAACGTAAATGTGTGTGTACATTTACTCACTGCACGACGACTACTCGTCTTCAACTCATTACGCATCCATACAGTAGTTAAGTTTACGCTCATTACCCTTTCGACCAACAGAGGGCTCTAGAATACTTTTCTAGACACAACACAATGCAAAGTGTGATATATGTCTAACTTTAAATCAATGAATATATTATATTATTATTAAATCTGATGACCTTAGCAGTAACAAGGGGTGGGGCTTAGCAAAACTATGAATTACTTTATAGAGCATCATTTACTCCTCTATTTAGCGAGTGTACATGCTGTTGGATGTGAAACGCGAAAAAAAATCCAAATCACCTGATTTTTTCAATGCATTGTCGATCTTCTTACTCATCGTGGGCAGACCAATACATTCGGCTCCCTCTCCAATCATATCTAAAAATCTTCATGAGACAAAAAATAAAACATTATACTAATTGCATTTAAAAAAAATACACATTTCAAAGTAGCACACATTGGAATATTTCTGCATAGCCTGATTCTTTTTCCTTTAAACTGGGCACTCAATGCTGCTGAGGGCTGACACGATTCTGTGAAGAACGCAACACCACGGCGCACCCAAAACAGATTGTTTTAATGACAAAACGTATCATGTCGCTTGGAAAATTTGACAATAGAAAATGTGCTGGCTGTTTGCATAGAATTTTTACCACAGCAGTATATATCTACTATTGATAAAGATCAATAAAAAACTGATGGCTAGACAAATGAATGTCACATCATGATAATATATGAAGTGACAAAAATGATTGTCACATCAATTGTCACTTGACATATTACTGTCTACCCACAAAGTGTTGTCACATCCTTACTCGGTGGCTGTACTATACGATTCCGGGTGAATCCATGTTTTATCCAGAGGGTTGGCTTCAAATACTTTCTCCACCTTGGATTTGGTTTTTCTTGTTCTAGTGTTTACGGGAACAGTTCCTGATGTGTCCTCTACCCTTTGGGAATTGCTAGAAGAAAGGAAGTAACTGTTACTAGTTACAATAAGCAATTTGCATTGCTTATTGGTAGCATTTTGTCTTTTTATAGATGAGTACATGCGCTGTTAACCTCTACCCTGGAATATAAATGGGTACTGGCATATGCTGAGAAGGCAAAACAGACTTGTGTTTTCCTTGAGGAATGGCGATCCGCCACAGCCTTTCACAGTCTGGCACAAACGTCATAAGAAAAAGAAGTGCGCACTTCATTATGCAAGCCCACCAGTTTCAGGTTTCAAACTTTTTCCTTAAAATTTTTTACTACTTTAAATGTTTGACTAAACTAAAATGAATGAAACCAAATTTTAATTACCAAGGTGGATTAATCGGACGACTGATCCTCACGAATCCAGCACACTGTTCGTACGTCTTCGTCCATATACCTTTGATTTCCAAAAGCTGTTCCCGATTTACAAATCCACCATTTTTTTCACGAAACTCAATAATATTCTTAGCTCTTGTTGCCGTAAGTCCAGCTATCCTCCTGTTAAAATAAATATACATATCAGTGTCACAGAAATTAATGTCCTAGTAAATGGATTAGCAAATTTGTGTAGTTGATTTAAAGTCAGTTTTGGTTAGCTTTAAAACATAGATTAAATGTAGCCAACTGTGGTTGTGAGCTCAAGATTTGGTGGTCGGAAATCTGTAAATGCCAAATTCTTGGCAAAACAGTTAACTTGTCCTTTGGATAGGATTTTAAGGCATTGATCCTACATATATAATGGCTCTACAAATAAAAGGTAACTCTTCCCACTATTTTGTAATAGAGTAGTTTATTGACTCCTGGTGTACTAAGCAATTTACTTTGCATGTGTTTGCATGCACATGTCTGAGTTCTGTTCTTTTATTGCATGGCTAGTAAAAGGGATTGACACTTATACAGACATATGGGATTGTGGAAATTTTTGGCATCTATATCTAATCATAATAATCAAATCAACTTAAAATGATTACAAGATGATATCAGGATTAATGTTGATTCATGCGCAATGTGATCATGCAGGAACTCACCTTAAAAGTGATTCTGTACAAACATTCAAGTCCACACCGACAAAGCTGACGCAATCTTCCACTACGCCATCTAATGCCGTTTTCATTAATTTCTCGGGCATATCATGCTGTATTATTAATAATAAACACTATGATTACCACAAAGACAGAGGGCACAGGAATCAAATACCATATTGGATATGCATCCTTTAGACAACTGAAAAGGATTACTGCGTATTGACAAAAATCATAAAAATATTTATAAAAAGAAACAGCTATGTATAAATTTTAGATTTTCTTAGTCATTCAAATTTAAACAGATTTAAACAACTATAATATATCCGAATTAGCTTACTTGGTACATTCCAACTCCAATGTGTTTGGGATTATTCTTAACTAATTCAACCAGTGGATCTTGTAATCTTCTAGCTATGGACACTGATAGAAAAAATACATATTACTATGTTATGCATTCATATGCCCACATGTACATACATAACCTATGCATATGCCCTGCTGTAAACACATTTGTATTACCATTACTGTAGACACATTACACATCCAAATATCCATGTCTAGACATGTTATGTACTCATATGCCCATCTGTAAACAGGTTACCTATTTGTTTGCCTATCTCTAGACACATTAACCATATACAGTGTATGTTAATTATGTAGAAATGTTACCCATATATATTCTCATCTGAAGACACACTGCCCATCGATGCGCACAGCCACATATGCAAGCTCTCAGACCCACCTATGGAAGCATAGTTTAGGTTTTGTAGCAAACAGTGAGAAGTGATTCATAAAGTGTTACACCAACCTGCACTACGAACATTTGGATCCAGGTCAGGCATCTCTTTCTCTGCTTCCTCTGACACACTATAGATGGAGGCGCCATCTTCATTCACAATGCTGGAAAACAAGGCCATTTTATTCATTCATAAAAAATGTACTGTAGTTCATCTGGTATAAGCTAATTCCTCTTAAGAATAAAACTGGGTCTTTTTTAGGGGATATGCTGATACCTAGGAGTCACAAAATGCAAACAATTACTGTATGAGCCTAATTTATGAAGCTAAGTAGGACGAGCCTATTGTAAGCCTCAAAGTCTAAACAGGCCTGAAAAATAAAACTAGGTAGCCCAGGATTGAATGCAATACACTTATTATCTAGTTGTAACTTTATGCAACCGTCCCACAGAGCTGAGTATGTGTTCCATAGGTGTTTGATAAGGGGTAATAATGCGAAGCGACTACATGGCATATATATATAAACAATATTTCTATTTCGATGTGGTTTGACTCAGGAAAATTTCATAGGAGTGATTTTTTGGCCTACCCGACGTATTATCGTACTGAATACACAGTACGTTCCCAAATACTAAAAATCGCAAGTGATTCGGTTGGGAATTGAACCCACGACCTCCAGTTGACAAGCTTGGTGTCATAAACACTAGATCATTGAGCTTGCACTTAGTGACTAGTGCTGAATCTGATCCCAATAAGCTACTGTATGAATGACGTATGTATGTATATTTGTGTATATATATGTGAAAGCTTACCAATACTTGACATCCAAGGGATAAAAAGTTTTCTTTGATATCAGATCTGCAATTACTTTCTCGGTTTCTCGGCAGGCTGTACCGTTGCCAATAGCAACTGTGGCGGCCCTTCAAAGACAGAACAAAAATTAAAGATGAAGAAAATGGGAGGCAAGAGTTATAATTATGATAATGATGATGATGATGATGATGATGAAGATGAGGTTGATGATAACAATGAAGATAATGATGATGACAATAATGATTATGAAGATAATGATGATAATGATGATGATGATGATGATGACAATAATAATTGTGGTGATGATGATGATGGTGATGATAATGGTGAAGGTAAATTTTAGATTTAGATTTATATCTAATGTTTAATTGATGCTTTACATTTTTTAAGATTAATAAAATGAACAAAAGTCTTACTTGAAGCGTTGAACCATATCTACAAGCTTCCTTTTCTGATGTTGATTCTGATTGTTGATTAAGTAAAGTACATCTGTATGTAGAATTACACCTGTAAATAAATGATACATATTTAAGTGACTCAATTGACAGTATATGTCTGGGAGGATTTTCATGTCTATGGTTAGGGACAGATTCATTCCTATGTCAAGTATACACACACTAAATTGTGTGCTTTTTAAAGAACGCAATACGTATCCTGATGTTCTGGTTCATCCCCTATAGTGGAATAGATGCATGCACAAACTGACAGCAAAACTGACACTACATGACACTTTAGGGTGTAGAAATTCTAGAATTATGTGCATCCAAGCAGGGTTCCTAAGTTGGAAGAAGCCAATCCTGAGAGATCTGCAGTGGCAGATCTACTGTAGACGAGAAAATTATGAATATGGTATGAGTCTAGATGGTCGGAAATGGCACTCTCAGACTTTAATTTGAATATATATTTTTTTTTTATTACTGGAATATTTAGAGGGCCTGGGCCAACTTCCCCCTTAAATCCGCCACTGATCTGGTTATTGAGCTTTCTTAACACATTTACGGTAATTTCATTTTGCTACACATACAGTAGGCCTCGGCACTGACTTCTGTGAGACACTTGATAATAAAGCACTGAATATGCAGGAGATGGCTTATTTTCTGGGAGATTCTTGCTTGCTTACGGGAGTGTGTGAGGCTGTCCCGATTTCCGGGAAACTTCAGTGAGTCGCAGGAGACGTGGGACCCTGTCCAAGCCTTAGTCAACTTCAAGGAAAAGGCACAGATATATTTGTAAAATTTGGCATTTAACAGGATTGTCGTTTGTTGTTTTCATCATCATCATCTTAGTTATAATAAAAAAAAATATTGTCTTTTCTCCTTAACTTTTAACAGCATGTGCAGGCGTCGCCAATACAAGATGTTCTATAAACCAGTCCATTATGAGGCTTAGGGTGTGGACCCTCATTCTGATTGGTCAGTTGTTGCATCCAATTGTCAGTCCAGGTCTAAGATTAAGATTAACAATCCTACCTTGGGTCATGTATTGTAGAAATTATTAAATTATTTGAAAATTCTACCCAAACATCGTACCAGTTTCTGAGATGATTGCTGCTTTACAACCATTTCTAAATCCAGGGTCTAGGCCAATAATGACTTTCCCTCTGACTGGCGGCGTGAGAAGTAATCGCTTCAAATTCTGGGCAAAGACATCGATAGAAGCTCTCTCAGCTGACCTGGTCAGCTCCGACCTACGAAATAATAATGACAGTCATCATGTTAATAATAATGATGATGACGATGGTGATGAAAACATTTGATATTAAGATGATGATGAAGATGATTTTGGTGAGGATAATTAGAAAGAAGCTCATATAGATGCTAATTTTAGCAAAAAGTAAGAGCACGTAGAATAGTTAAAACAAGCATATTATAATGACAAGATGTATTTTGAGTATGCAGTTCGAGAACACATCAGGTAGGGCAAAAAATCACTCCAATGGATTATACAGTTGATAAAAGGGGCGGATCCAGAGATGTTCGAAAGGGTGAAAGGGTGAGGGGGTCGATCGAGGAACAACACTACCCTAGGGGTGTCCCTGGAAATTTGTATGTTCCAGATGCCTGGAAATAACCTCTGAGGCATTTTGGGGATCAATTATTTTTTTTTTTTACTTTCAAAAAGCAAACAACCCGCCTCTCCCCCCCACCCCCGATCTTAAGTCCACCCCAGGATAAGAATTATATAGAATCTTCATCACAGATAACCGACCTGATCTGCCTCACTATCAGGGGCTGTATTAGTCGTTTGTATGCATCATCAATTGCGGAGGTCAATAACCCTTTCCCATCAGCCCTTGAAAATTTGGGGATCCACCGGTTCAGACACCAGGATTTGAATGACTTGCACACATGCGGTGAGAGCTCAAGCTTCACTGACAGCTCCTTCAGCGCATCACCACGATTCAGAGCTAGAACCTGTCAATCAAACACCAAATATGAATATTCATGAGGGAAAGTGTGAGTGTATTGTTTGTTATATATTGAAGTATTCCATCTGGTTTCAATGAAATAATAGTTAAATTCAAATTTTCATAAACAAAAAATTAAAACCTAATTTAACTACTGCAGTATTATTATTAATTTTTTTGTATAACTTCAATTTAGAAAAGTAATGCATTTCTGGATAATACTAATTCCAGACCCCAGGTGTGGCTGTCAATTAATCAACCTTAATGAATTTACCTGGTGTGGTTTTATATCTTTTGCAGGAACCTTAAAATTAAAATAGTTTTCAAAATGTCGGTTACACATGTTTTTTTCTTTCTCATCCTTCAAAGCTGATTTAGATTTCTCGGCTGTTATGAGGGTTCTCCCATCTGATGTTCTAAAAACAAAATACACAAACAAATAACAATTACAGAAATTATATATCGACCATTCCATGACTGAACTTGAATATGTGTTTGCAAATGATAAGATTTTGATGATAAGGGGGTTTGCAGGCTGATGTCCCCAACGAGAAAATGGGCGTCACTAAAAACCTTTTGAAAGTGGTCCAGGGGACGTAGCCCCCCCAAAAATATCACAATTTAGATCAGCAGACCACATATGGCACATCACAGATGCTTGTCACATAAAACTTCATAGTGTGGGTATAGCTTACCAGTTTTTTATGAACCACAAGCATTCATTAAAAACTTTCAATGAGTCCTGGTTTTGGTACTATACTACCCATCTGGGTTCACATGAGTAGGATGGGAGAGGTGGTGCATGGTGTGTGGTGCTGATTTAATGGTTTATAATGCGTGGTGATGCATTTGGAATTTTTTTAATGATACATAGTCACCTAAAAAAGTTTATAGAGTGAACGATGGTGTTCTTTTTTGCCAGAAATAAAATAAATTTGCTTACAAGAGCCTTATTTGGTCCATTGTATCTTTATCTTTTGCAATAATATCTGCCAATATATGCTGTATTCCTTGCTTCACTTTCTCCATGGTACAGCAACCTGCAAAGATCACCTCACAATCATCAATACTAATGCTACCATGGTATCACTATGGTATCAAGGTAACTATTTACCATGGTATAATAATCAGAGGTGGATTTAAGGGGTCCCAGCCAACCCGGGCCCCTCCTAATTGTTTGAATATTTTTAAAAAGTTGGGGGAAATTGTGGTCTGAACCCTCTATCCATAAAAAGTTATATTGAACTCTGATAATGATAATGATGCTGATGATGATGAGGACGATGATGAACATGATAATGATAGTGATGATGATTAAGTAGCGAAGGCACGGTTAGACCATATCCTTGATATTAGGAGAATTCTGGTTATAACTTGTGAAATATAAACTTATTTATTAACAATAATCCATCTTACCATCAACTGTGCTGCTTACAAACTCGTGAAGATTGAGTGGGTCATTGTTTAACACTCTCATAGCTGCTGGCTCAAGTCCTGCCTTCTTTGCTCTCTCGGCCAGTGAACTTTTACTTCCAGTTTTGAATGGGGCAAACTGAATCAATTAATAAATCAATTAATCAAGTAGAACAAATATGGATGTAAATGAGTATATGGTCCTTTGGATAAGACCCCTAGGGTGGGGATCCACGGCAGTACAGCATGTGCCATGGTCAGTGCATGGGCGACAACCCCCTGCCCTTTTGGAATAGTGCACAGAGTTTTGTGCAAATGTGCTATTATGTACATGGGACCTATGGCTTAACACTCCATTCAGAGGATGAGGTAAAAGCAGAGCAGTGTCTTATCCCAAGTTACAAGCTAAAAACACAAGCTAAAAACGACAGTGACAGGCTCTGAACACTTTTCATTTCATACCAAAGTTCAATCCAATATTACTACATTACCTCACACACTGTTACAATTATAGCTCATGAGTTTTTTTTATAGCTAAATAAGTTTAATTTCATTAATAAATGTTATATAAATAAATGAACAATTTTATTAAGATTTAGGTAGGCTACTCACAATGTGATCTAGCTCTTCAATAGAGTGTGCTCGTTGGATGCTTCTCCTTACACCTGTTGTCATCTTACCCTGTTTTGTTATCTGTTTAAAAATATTACTTGCTTTGCTTTCAACCAATCTGAAAAAAAAACAATATCACAATAATATCAAACAATATTAAAGGCACTGATGTAAAAACTGTGTAAGATATATTTTATCTTCTAAAAACTGTTAAAATTCAAATCATATTGAGAGCAGATTTCCATACAATTGCTACACACTATCGGCGACAGCTTTCGATGATGCTGATTGGTCGGTCAAATCGCAGAGCCTTCGAGATTACCTTGGGAACTGCTAGGCAGTAGAACAATTGCATTGAAAACAGTGTAGCGATTTCAAGAAAACCAGTCTTAACAAACATACAAGTAATTGGGAGCAAAATTCTTACTTAAAAAATTTAATATACCATTTAATTTGTCTTTGTGTTTTTTATAGTTTTTTTTTTTTTTTTTGCGATATTATATTTGCACCTACTGTAATTTCCTTTAAGAGAAAATATAGAAATCTGAAGTGATGCGTTCTTTTCAATATTTACCTGAGTTCTATCAGACAGAACTGTACTTCACGTATCTGTTTAACTTCCATATTGTTGGTTTGTTCTTTTCTGTATCGTGCTATGAATGGAACTGTATGGTCTGAATCTAACAATTTCACGACATTCACCACAGCCCAATAAGGTTCATTGACCTGGGTAGAAATAATTTCAAATAATCTTTCTCCCAAATGCAATACATCTTCATCTAATGTTTTTACATTCTTGCGAGATTCATCTGATTTATTAGATCTCCCGCCTTCCTTCTCTTTTGTTTTTGATTTACTTTTCTTGGGCTGAAGAACTGGCACTTCTTTGGTGGTTGTACTCGTCGCTGGTTTACTACATACGTCTAATTCTTCTGTTTCAGCATTTTGAGCCCGTTTTCTTCTTTTGACTTCTCTCTTTACAGCCGTACTGCTTTCCCTTTTGTTTTTATTACCTTTTTTCGTATCCTTACCATCCATTTGACTGTAGTTACCTATAAAAAAAAAAACAGGTTGTCAGACAAGGGTCCCAAGTTAGAAGAAATGGTCCTTCTGGGAGATCTGGTTAAATGAGCTTTCTTAATACATTTAATTTTTCTTTTTTTTTGCTGTGCATATTGATACCAATTGCCAATGATTTCTGTGATACAATTGATAGTAAAGAAGTAAAAACATACAAATATCATGTTGCGGGAGATGAGTTATTTTCCAGGAGATTCTTGTTTGCTTGCGGGAATTTGGGAGGCTGTCCCGATTTCCGGGAGACTCCAGTGACTTCCAGCAAACTTGCAGACCCCTGGACATACCAAGCTTCATGTCACCTTGCTAGGCCTAAGAAAGAGGCTAGACTAGCTTTAAAGCTTGTGATACCTACTCTTGAGTACTGTAATGTTGTATGTCACCCTAAGTTCAAGGAAGGATGAAGATCAACTTGTAATAGGTACCGCAAAGAGCTTCTGGAATGTTTCCAGAGATCATCAAGATAGATTGCGAGCCTTAAATTTACCAACTTTATGTTATTGTAGACAGAAAGCTGATATATTCTTCAGGCTTTCATTTAAATTAAGTTACTCGAGGCTTTGACAATGTATCTGTGGATTTGATTTTTGATTTTAACACTTCTAAAAAATACCCAAGGTCATTATTTTAAACTGCATCACCAGTACTCTAAAACAGATTTGAGGTAAATGTGTCTTAGAATGATTTGTCTGAGGAGGACGTTAATTCTGTATATTTAAACTCTTTTAAATCTGCACTGGAAAAGCGGGGGGCTATACTTGGTCTTTACTCCTGGCAGGAGAACTGATGATTCCCTGGAACTCGAGTAAACAAGTAGGCCTAGGCCTAGGTTAGCCTAACCCTCCTCCTCCTACTACTACTACTACTACTGTACTACTAGTACTACTACTACTACTAACTAGCTAGGCCTAGGCCTGCTCTGAGGACTAGGTAGTCTCTAGTTTTTTTACGAGGCCTAGTTTCATACTTGGGATTACCTCTACTTTACACTTCAGATTATTACTTTAATAACAGATCAAAGCCCAAATGAATTCTAGAACTCTGGAACCTTGCAGAGCGGTTAACAGCCGTCGCCTTCTAGTTCAACCGTAAACTTCAGTTTCTCTCTGCAGTGTTAATTATGTTTAAACTTCCCCTGCATGCTGAATACACGCTGCATACAAGCCTCAATGTTTACACATTGGACACTTGATGTTGAATTGTTGATGAATAGCGCCACCGTCTGTTCGTTCACACAGCTTGGTTGTTCATTTTTTCCATTCCTTCAATTCGTTCGTTACTTCATTCATTCTTTCGTTTTTTTGTTCGTTCATTCATCCATTCAATGGAATGAAATTATATAATTAGTTTTGTTTATTCTAGTTTCCAATTTCCTGCTTCCAATTTAATCTATTCAACTTATTGTAAAAATAATATAGGGCCTATATATATATATATATATCTGTCTCTTATACACATCTGAACTGTACTTCACGTATCTGTTTAACTTCCATATTGTTGGTTTGTTCTTTTCTGTATCGTGCTATGAATGGAACTGTATGGTCTGAATCTAACAATTTCACGACATTCACCACAGCCCAATAAGGTTCATTGACCTGGGTAGAAATAATTTCAAATAATCTTTCTCCCAAATGCAATACATCTTCATCTGATGTTTTTACATTCTTGCGAGATTCATCTGATTTATTAGATCTCCCGCCTTCCTTCTCTTTTGTTTTTGATTTACTTTTCTTGGGCTGAAAAACTGGCACTTCTTTGGTGGTTGTACTTGTCGCTGGTTTACTACGTACGGTATATATTATTTCCTTCTTTCGTTCTTTCTGTATTAATTTATTCACATTCGTTCATTTGTTCATGATCGTTCAATCTTTCAATTGTTCACTCGTGTATTCTTTAATTTCCTTCATTCTTTTTTAAATTCCTTATTTAATTCGTTCAATTCGTTTACGCGTGCAATCGTTTTCGCTCGTACAATTATTTATTATTCATTCATTCATCCTTAGTTTGCTGTTTATATCATTTAATTATTTCGCTTTGTATACTGGTCGTTCGTTTTTTCAATGAATGTGTTTTCCTTCTATTCTTCCTTTATATCATTTTGCTTTCAAGTCCATTTTCTGTCAATCGACCTAAATTCTAATAATGATGACCTGTTTCCTTACTAAATCGCAACTTTTTCACCTATTTTGTCTTAACTAGTCTGCCTAGATTTATTGAAAACTGATTTATTTTGGTATTATTTAATTGGCAGTTGAAACCTTATTAGAAGATGAGCGATTTTTATTTGCAATGCTGTATATCAATGCGTTTTACTATAATCATAATAATTGTAATTATTTATATAATAACAGGTCTAATGACAATATATTATTAGTCCTATCCTTACATTAATTATTATTCAAAATGCAGTTTGGTGACGAATGTGTGTGATGCGCACGAAACAATTAATACAAACAAGATCTATTGTCAAGAAGATGAAATTAATACACAACATTGCATGATCCATGCGTATGTCTTGGGCGCAATTTCCAATCGCTTCGAATGTGAATATTTTAAAGTAAAACACCCAACATCATCATTTTCCTTTTCTTTCGAGGTAAGTAAATGTTTTTTTTTCAATCGAACACAATGTTCGAAATTAAAATTAACGAAAATGATGCGACCCCAATAAGGTCGAGATTGAACCCTCGATATTGAGAACGAGATATCAGTTACACACACCCCCCACAATGTTGTACTCATAATTAACGATAATAGGGGGAGGACGCTCATTATATTGAACACCACACGAAGCTCAAATTAGTCCAAATCACGCGTAAGAGCGACGCGGATAACGCCGCCGACTTTGCTCTGCTTAGCCCGTCAGCGTGTGTTGCAGAAGTACCTTTCCTAGCCTATTATTTATGTCGGCTTAGCGGACGAGAGTGGTCATTTTAAGTACGTTCAGCAGGTATGATTTTAGCTTAGAATACTGATGTAACTAATGATGCTTTCATTGTTTATATTGCATTCGCAATAATCTAAATTTATGCGCAAAACATAAAGGAAATTCTTTGTTTTCTTCTTCCGGAGTGGGCACTCGGTGGGATTACAAACACCGGGTGTCGAAGGCACGATAGATAGCGTGTGTAGGCCTACTGCCCGCCTCGAATACAGTAGTTGAAGGGAAGACTAGGCGCCCGGTGGCTATGTATGACTACATGATATCACAATTGTTTGCATTTTAATGTGTCGTTTGCTCTGATTCCGTAATTCAATGTGGTGTTGGTTAATCAATATTTCTAGACAGGTCATCGCGATGCGTAGTTTCAAAGGTGCTAAGTGTATTTTATTACTTATTCCAAAGACAACTTCTGGAGAAGCGGCAGACAAGTACAAAATGCTTTTAATTCATTCTGGTTGTTTACATCACAATACCAATAGCAACTCCACCAACTATTACATTTAATATTTGCTTAGATGGTTTAAAAGTCGATTTATAATACATGTTTTCTTTGGAATTATATTTTATATAATAAAATAGATAATAACTTTAAATTCCCAACAAGTTACTCTCTGTAGTCTTAACATCAAATGTTGTAAATACATCAATCATGTGAACAAAAACAAATTTTAGTTGCTTTTCACACCTGGGTTTAATAATATCATTATAAATATACAAAATATGCAGATATTGTGACAACAATGAAGCATTGACTTGTGATAAAGTATGCTATATTTATAGTGTCTTTTGAAATTGCTATTGAATTTAATGTTTTTAGTGAAATGTACTGTACAACCAGTCATTATCATCTTCATTTATCATCATCATACAGTTACATTATCATCATCATCTTCTTCATCGTCATCTTCACCATAATTAAAACATTATCATTTTCCTAGAATTGTTTCAATAGCTTTGGTAATTTTTCTGATGTTTCATAAATTGAAGATATGAAAAGACAGTACAACAGTGCTGGATTTAGGAATTCGAAATAGAGGGGGGGGGGGGCCAGGGAGGTATTTTGACAGATGGAGGATATAGACACCTCATCCCTCAGCTGAGGCGCAAAAAGTTATGAATTAGGCAACTCTATGGTTGGAAATGGCATTATAAGACTTGATTTTGAATACAGTTTTCTTTTTTTCTTCATTTTTTATATATTAATTTCGAAAATTGACTGTAGGTAGGGCCTGGGCCAGCTGTGCCCACTTTTGAATCTGCCTACAGTATGTACTGTACAAGGCAACAATCATTCTCTTCTTTCAATCATCATAAATTCTAAGTACAATTTGTATTGAAGTTTGATCATGTTTTTCCTGATCTGCTTGGAAAATCTCTTGGTTGTACAATTTTTCCTAATCCTGCTACAATATGTAGTATGTAATGTACTTCGTTGTCTCCCTTTTTGTAAAGAGGCATGGTATTTAAGAGGGTTTACTGTATTGTTGCACGTCTTTGTGAATTGTCATAATGACATATGCTGGTCATAACCCATACATAGTGCAGTACATTACAGTTTGTATTTTTTTGTGCCCCCACCATAAGAAGTATGAAACCAGACATTCTTGTAATATAGATAGGGCAGATACGGCTGAAAATAGTACTGAAAAAGCTTTTGAATTTAAGAAGTATCATAACATAATTAGGGACCTTAAAAGCTGTAGTAAATCATTTGACATACTCTGAAGTACTTACAGTACTGTAGAAGTAGGCAGTAGAGGATTAACAAAGATAATTATCAACAAAAAAAATGTTTAAAATCTAATGCACGAAACATCGGTAAGACTAAAAGTACAGAGTGGGAGAAATGCCCAGTTAAATGAAAAATCAAAATTTCAGACTGTAAAATATTCAATGCATGGCTCATGTTTTGCAAGCCAGCAATGGTAAAAATATGCTCATTTTTATGTGTTTCATTTTTTTTTGTTATTTCCTGCATGTACAGTACAGTACTGTTCTTGGTTTTACTCAAGATATATTCTGGCATTTACAACTATCTTTTGTATCATTTATGGATGAATATTTATTCTGGCAAGACTCACCGTTTGTCAGAAAATTGTGTTTTTTTTATTTTTTGTTTTTAGATTCTGCATATATTTTTCTTTAAAACAGTATTTATTTGATTGAAATTGGTTAAGTATTCCAAAAGATTCCAAAATCAACAGTTCATTATTAGGATTTGTATTTTTAAAATATTTTTAATGTTCTTCAATACATTTTTTTTAATATAAGAACACTGAGACTGAAATTGCTTAAAAATTAAGAACAAAATAAGAACAATTTGAGGCTGAGGTAAAATGAGATAAGATTTTTTTTATTTAAAAAAACAAGAAAAACCAAAAAATTGACTATGCACCCTATTATAATACAGTACAGTAGGTGTACCTACCTGTCATTTGGGGCCATTTTTCAGGGGCAATTTTTTACAGGGCCACTTTTACCTACATTTCCAGTACAGTGTACACTGCTGTGCAATAATACTTTTTTATGTTTGAAAAGTGTGTAAAATAAGAACAAAATAACATAACAAAAAATTTTAAGCCTTGAAATCATCCAAAAAATAAGAACACTGAGCCTGGGCAAAATTTTACTGGTTCTTATAAAAAAAAGGTGTACTATATATCTGTTTTATAAAACAATAAAAAACTGAAATTTGTCAAAATTATGATTCTCAAATGTTTTGGGTGCTAGTGCAAAATTTAAAATTGTGCAAGCAGAAGGGTTTGGTCACTATTAAACAACTTCCTGGCCAGAGCTGGTCACAAATAAGGACTTGCTTGAATGAACCAGGGTTTGAACAAAATATAAGTGATCTATAGTCAGAAAGACGACACTGAAGCATAGTATGTCGATCTGGTATAAACTATCTTAAAAGATTGATAGATACCTGAGATTTCAATCCAATAAACTTATAGTATGTCATCATTAATATATTGCATACAGTAGAATTACAAGCAATTATATTATATTCCTCTTCAATTCAAGATATTAAAATGACTTCAATGATTGACAGCATGGTTTTTGCAGTGACAACATTTTGTTTTTTGAAATCTTGATTCCATTGTTGAATTCCTATTGATTACCTATTATCAACATTTATCCTTCGCAATTTCCACACAGGATGCATAGGGCCAAAGAAAGAATGTCTAGCTGTAGACTGATATGTTGAGTTTCGCAGTGGAACATTTAATTTGTTTTGAGACTTGTTGATACTTTCCGTCTTTAATTTTATATTATATATTTTTGATGTTGACTATATTTTCTGACCATAATCAATTTTTTAATAAAAATACATTACAAATTATGTATAACTGTCGGTGTGATAGGATATTTGAATAAGGCAAGGGCAGCTATAGTAGTATCATATGGTATTTACTATTGCTTGATGACCAATAAAGAGTAGTGCTATTTACTATCATTGTGGCATATCCAGGATTTTGAAAAGGAGGTGGTGGTGGAGGGGGAAGGTTAAACGAAATAAAAAAAATAAACTGACTTACTGTACTTTGCCATTTATTTCCATTAATTTACTTTTATTTCCATTAATTTACTTTTATTTCTTCATGTTCAAAACAAAATTCATGAACAAAAATGAGGTGTGCCCAGGCACCCTAAAACCCCCTAGTTACGCCACTGATTAGTGTATGGTACAATACATACAGTTAGTAGTTCGATAGAGTACAGTATTCGATAAAGACAATTTTATAGTAGCAGGGATGATATTGAGAGTACAGTAGAGTATAGCAGATTATTTGCGTAACATGTGGATTTCCACTCCAATGTTCTCATTATGTAATGTAAAATAATACTGTAGATTACAGAGTTGCAATATATGGAGTATCATGAATGGAAATTACTTGAGCTGGTTTGCATAGCTAGAGCTTTGGGGCGTTAGTGGACATGTTGTCTTAAGCCTCAGCAATAAGTGTAATTGATGTATTCAATACGGAAATTAGTCTGGATTTTTTTTACATAAAACAATATTTTAAAAATTTGATTAGAAAAGAAAGTCGGTTGCAAGGATATTGGATTAGCTGTTTGAGAAGTGTGTTGAGTTTTTATTATAGGAATAATTATCAAATTGATAATAATCTTGTATGGAGAGCATGGCTTAAAATTTAGACTTTACATAAACATGGAAAGACTTTTCTAAAAATAGAGACTGATCAGAAATATAATTCAATGCATACAAGTTTTTGTAAATAGTTGTCAAAGTATACTAACAATTAAAAAATCATGTCTGTCCTGGTAAATAGCCCTAATTCTAGGGTCATTTTCTCACTTATAAATACTACATTTTGACTAGTAAAATGTTTTCTACTGCCCTCAAATCTGTGGATAAGTTATCAAATTAATTTTAAAAGATTGCAGAGTGGTAAAATTAAATTTAGCAGTACCGGTAGTAGATTAACCCACAATTTGTAGTGTCACTAAATTGTGTGCATGGTCTGTAACTAATAAATAGGAATTTAGGTGTACAGTATTTGTACTGTATGGTTAAGATACTGTGTTGCATAATATTCAAGATTGTGCAATCTTCTCGAATCGATTGGGATGAAGAATTCAGAATGATGATATTTTCAGCATGATAAGAAGTATTAATGTTGGCCTCATTTATTTATATTACGTTACTATTAGTACTGTAGTACTTTATTAAATGACTCTTTCCACTAGACCTCTACCAATTGTCTTTTAAAAGAACAGAGGGAATAGCGTATCTACTGTATTATAAATTAGTAATTAATATATCTACAGTACTGTACGATAGAGAACTGTACCAACGTTTTTCTGGATTTTAGAAACATGTGGTTAATTAGAAGAATAGTTTATTAATTTAAATTCATAGTAAATTAAATAATCTTTAATTTATGATTCTACTTGATTATTTTGTTAAAAAAGTCCTAATTTAGCACTTACTGTGCGTACCGTATCCTGTTTCATGTTACTACAAGTACAGGCAATAGTCCATGGTACAAAAAGCAACGTCAGTGCTTGAATGAACGTTCATGCATAAATATTTATGAGCAAGCCCTTGCAATATATCCAATCAGGTTGCAGTTTGCTCCACAGAAATAGGATGCATCATATCTGTGACATCATAATGAAGTGTACAGTAGCTTGCACAGACAGGTTTCTCTGCATCAGTGCACACATATAGTATATTAAAACACCCTCTTAAAAAATTCACTGTTAGAGCTGATTGTTATGTTGTCGAGGGTTGATCATGGCATTGAGACTTAGAAGCAGATTTGCTGGTAAAAATCTAAGGTGTAAACCGGTAAGATTTTTCAGATTCTCTGTTGCATATAATTGCAGTCTAATTATTCAGCTGTACATTATTAAAAACACCTTCTGTATTGATCTGTGAGTATTGTAACACTGCATAGGGTTGAGTTACACAATCTTCCGTTGAGTACCGGCTTCTTCAGTCGTGAGGATCAATGCTGTGTTTTAAATGATATGCGTAGTGACTGCAGTGCAATGCTGTGTCTGAGCATAAGCTCAATGAGGAGGAAATTACTGATACTGTATGTAGCTTAGAACTAAAGGATTGAAAAAAAACATTTATATTCCAATATTTCTCTAGTGTTATGCATGATTTAGAAGTATGTGTATAGCCAGCAGTAGGATGCTATGCTTTCAATCAAAAAGTCAGCGCATGGTTTGTGTCCTTAAGATGGGCTCTTGCTCTCTCCACTTGAATTTCCAATCTTTGAAAATTTAAGAGACAGATGGCGATAAGCTCTAGTGAAGAGTGCTCCCACACCACAAATTTCTTGAATATCTGAAGTTTTCTTTCATGCATGACTTTAGGCTAAACCTGGCATCATCATGTTTTATAAGGTCATTAGAAAAGCTTGCTAATTTACGCAACTTCATGCACGCACAGATTTTTCACAAGATTTATCCTTCACTGAAAAGCAAACTCCTGTTTTGCTTTTTAGTAGGGGTGGTGGATTTGAAAATGTGCAGAATTTCTAACACAAGGAGATTGCATGGAAATTTGGGAGACTCCCGATCAATTTGGGAGCAGTACTATGGGTGTCATATCCTGTAGGATATGTGGACAATTTTGGTTTCCAATTGGTGTGTTGCTTACCTGCAAATTAGGTATACTCCTCAGGGAGCAAAGGTGGTTGTACATTGTGAATGATTGATAGACTAGGTAACATAAAACCTTGGTATTTATTAATAACAGCTTTTACAAGTCCCATTGACAAAAATAAATCAATTATATTATTTAGAATAGCAGAAATGGGCAGCCATCACAACTGAATGGGAGTACTTCTGTGTACCTTGCTCATAAATGATGAAGCTTGGCATGAGCTCTTGATTCCAATCAAATAATAATAAGAATAGAATCATTGGTGTGTATCTTTGGCAAAAGGAATTTATCCACCCATTACTTCTATACACGTAGAATGGGTACACTGGTAGTGGATTACTGTAGGTGATGCATACATTTATGTTAAGGAATACCCCCAGGGAGTGAAGACAATTGAATAATTGTGTATGATAATGGGCCTAAATATATTGTATTCTTGTATGGTTGCACTGATGATACTGTGCTGTACATACAGTATTTGCTCATGAACCTGGACAATGGTAATACCAAGCAGTTACTAGATATACACAAATACACATTGTGCGTGGCTGTGGACGTGTTATGTTTTCATTGGTGATAATAATTAGACAGGTTACATATTGTGTATGGTCATGGAACTTCAGTATTTTCATATTATCATGATTGATGATACTGTTGTTATGCAGAAATTGGGTCTCTATCCAATTGAAATCTAGTAGAAACAACCACTTCAGTAAGTAGGACAGATTTAAGGAGGGGGAATGTGCCTTCTACCTCTCCCCCTCCCCTCAATTTTTACCACTGCCATTTTCTATTTTTTTTAAACAAAGAATATAAAATGGAATACAGATACAAAATGTTACAATATTTTGTAATTCAGCATTAGCTGAACACATATTTCTGGGCATCTATAAATCTGCATTCACATCAGGTCAGAAAAAAATTCAGACCTCACCAGCATCCCTATTCTTACACACCGATTCTATTTTCTAATCAGTACAGTACAGTAGATCTTCCAATCCGAAAATTCAGATTCAGTGTGGATAAGGCTATACAGCACAGTTTTTTTCAGTAAGGTCCTGCCCACCCCACCTCACCCTTCCAACGTATTGCCACATTCACACACTAACGCCTCTCACTTTGCACTCTTCTGAGAAACTGTTGCCCCCTTGTTTCAAAAATCCGGGATCCACCCTTGGTAAGAACACTTAACGTAAATTAAATCTAATTAACATCGAACATGTCATAGAAAAGTTTTAAAATATAAATACATTTTAGACAAATCTTGTGATTGTTACAGTAATTGAAGGGGACTTCACCTCTGTGTCTTTCAAAACCTTCCGCCACTCCCATTCATAATTTTAAGAGCTTTGTCAATGAGGCTTCAAAGTTTTGTGCTTTAATACCTAGAATGAATAATCACATCAATGTGGTCAATTCCACATTGCCAAGTCAAGTATAGAATAATAGTCTGACACAACAAGTCAAGGATCGAAACATGTACACAGGATATCTGTAATATATTACAATGTGCTTTTTCAAATAACATGACAGTTGTTTAAATCGCATCCTTTGTGGTGCGTTATAGAAAACGTTCCACTACAAGTATGGCACAAAAAACAGGTGTTGTATTATAACTTTAGTGCCAATATCCTCATGACTATAGGTATCATCAGTGCTATTAATATATTTTTATAGCTACAGTCCTGATGAGCACCAGTCCCAATATACATTTGACTATAGGTCAGGCAACTACATCAGTATTATGGCTCTGGTCAGGCGACTGCTCAGTTGCAATAGCCAGCTGTTTTACAGTACTTATACTAGGCAACTACAGTTAAAACTGTATTGTATTACAGTATTGTCGGGCAAATGCTGAGTGCCAATATCTATATTTTAGGTCAGACGGCACATTAAAGCCAGGCTTAGGAGGAAGACATTTTTTTATGTTGTACAAATGAATTTTCTAACCACAATTTTTCTTTCTCCAATGTTTGGATTTAAGCTGCAATAGTCATTTATCAAGCAACTATAGGTTTAAAGATTGGAAATACACTGTGGACTTTACATCATTAATCATTGTCTTTGAAATTATCTGAGTAGTTTATTTAACCTACTGATGTATAGTAATGAGTGATTTATAGAACAAGTCATTTCTTATTTCAGAAGTTCAAGATGGCTGATGAAGACGGCAAAGTTACAACAACACCACCAAAGGTAAGGTCTTATATTTTTTCTTAAAAATGGTCAGTGTATGTATCCATATTCATGAATGACTACAGTAAAACAAAAGGTGAGTAATAGGCTAAAAGAAAGAAAGTACAGACAAAATAGTGTTGTTGCAGGGTGTGTATCCTTCCAGCTGACATGCATGCCTTGGAATCTAATATTGATCCATTGTCTAGGGGCAGTCATCACCATTTATCCTTCAGCAAACACTTTGGTGTAAATTCCTATTTTATTATTTTTCTATAGAGACGTGGAGCCGGTAGCCCTGGTCGAAGTCCTGAGCGAAAACGCAAACGAGTTCAAGCGGAGTACTATCAATCGGACGTTGTCGATGTTTTCTCCAGGACAGCAGCATCCAGGACACCGACGGCCACCAAGGAGGTGTTTTGTGACAAAGGAGCCTTTCTCGCCATCAGAAGCTCAGAAGGTATGCTATATGTAGGCTAAGAAATGAAGATTACATTCCATGTAAATAATGTTTTAGCTTGCATGTATAAAATAAATTTTAATTAGCCATGTGATTTAATTCAGGACTTTTCAGAAGCTCAGAAGGTATGCTATATGTAGGCTAAGCCTACAGAGTTTATGGTTCAATGACATAATTCAACAATACATTCCATGTGAATGTGTTGGCTTGCATGTGTAAATTAGCCATTTTAGAACCATTGAAAAGCTTTTAAATAGGTCCCAAAACACTGTTATTTAAATGTTTTACTCAATGTACTTTTTGAGGCTGTCTTTTTTAAGCCCCAAGAGTGTCCAAAACCCCTTGCAAGTTCAATCACAACAGCCATGCGGTTAACTGCTGACCAGTGGCGTATCTAGGAGTCTTGAAATGGGGAAGGGAGGGCTGATGTGGGATACGAAGGTGAACTGGGGATAGTTAGAGGAAAAGAAAACAGCAACTAAAAGAGGTAAAAAGAAAGTTGTTGCTGTGAAGAAAGCGGGAAAAGGACGAAAGCGAGCCGGATCCAGGGCCGCGGTGAAACCCAAGCCAAAGGCGTCTGCTAGTCTCATCTCAAACAGACTCAAGAACAAGGCCAAGAGGAAACTGACAACTCAAAAACGTAAGCCTTTTCAGATAATGAATGTATTATTCATTCAAAATGTTTGTTCTTGTGGATATTATGTTTTGGAAATTAAGATACCAATTACATTAATTCTATGAATAAAAGCATTGATGCTAATGATCACTCTAGTTCAGTCCAGACTATCACATTCTCCTTGACAAATAACTGTTGTATTCCCATATATAGTCATTATATGCCTATATATGGTCATGATGTGATGTCAACATAACTATATTTAGGCATATCACATGTTTTTGTCAAATAAAATTTGATAGTCTGGACAGAGCCTTAAGTAGCAAATAATTACAAAATCATATCTTCCTACCTTCTTACAGAGACAAACAAAAAATCAAAGCCTACAAAGGCCAAGGCAAAGAAACCAGTGAAGAAGAAGTTAAAGAAGGTAGAAAAGAAAGTGAAAGAAAAGAAGGGTAAACAACCACGTAAACACCCTAACCAACTATTGACACCAAACACGAAGATTGAGATCGTGATGAAGGACCCATGCTTTGAAATCAAGTGAGTTCTACATGGTCTTTACTCTAATGCTTGTCCACACTATCAAATTTTGTGTGACATACCTGTAATCATACCCAGGTGTTTGTCGCATAAAACTTATAAGTGTGGACAGTACTTTAAGCATTTTTTATCCTTAAGTTCTGGCCACACTATTAAATTTGAAGTGACAAATGTGTGTCATGTGCCCCTGTATGGGCATGTTGATGTCATATTACACCCAAATATGGTATTATCACATTTATTTGTCACATGAAATTTAATAGTGTGGTCAGAGACATGGTGATAAAAAAAAAATATTTCTGTGTGATATCTAAGTGATGAATATGAGGTATTAGTACTGTGTCTTAGAAAGGGAGGGTATTACATTTTTTCCCTGTGTTTTAAAATTGTTCAATACCCAATAGCAAGTACCGTACAGATTAAGTGCCTTGCCCAAGGACACAAGTGAAATGCACAGCGAGGGATTGAACCCACGACCTTGAGGTTGGGAAACCAAACCGTTCCCACTGCACCAAACCACTTCCACAGATGATGACATCACATCATATATCATGACTATATATGGGCATACAACAGTTTTTTGCCAAATAAAAGTTGATACTATTTTATGACTATATTCTGTACAATTTATATTTTCTTATTATCTAGAGCTGAAAATGAAATGCCTGAAGTGTCAAAGGCAGCTTATGCCAAGCGTGCCATCCGTGCTGTCCTCACCAATGACATGGTGTTGTTGCGCAAGTTGATCAACGACAAAAAGAAGGTGGCGTCAGTGTTCTTAGACAGAAGCGTGGATGTGAAAGATGATGCGATGTCGTATGCAATCATGAACAACAACCAGGCAGCAATTAAACTACTCGGCACAGAATTAGAAGCAAATCAAGGAGATAGATGTAGGATTCCAGACAGTATCTTAGAAACCCAGGGTACAGGAACGTATGTACTATTTTTTTTAAATAATTTTTAAAAACATCAGTTGACATTTGTGATTAATAATAATATTATGTTGAACTTATATAGTGCTTCATTTCAATAATGTGCATCACATATGACCCCCAGTCATTGGATCAAGCACATATGGAACACATGCTCAGCTCCTTTGAGAGAATTCCATAGTGATGCAGCTGTAATCAGTGCATTGTGTGTTTCAACCTACCAGATACCCTCTTGTACTGAGTGGAGAGAGACAACTGTAGGTAAAGTGCCTTGCCTAAGGGCCTAAGTGAAATGCACAGCGAGGGATTGAACCTCTGACCTCAAGGTTAAGAAGCAGAACCACAACTGCTGCATCAAACCCCTCCTAAATTGAATACAGTGCACCCCTCCAATTTCGAGACCCTCTAATTCGAGACCACTATTCCAAAGACCCAAATAACAATCTTCAACCTTTTAACACAAAGCTAGCCCTCTAATTGGAGACCAACCCCGAGACCACCTCAAATTTTCAGGTCCCAAAGATGGTCTCGAATTGGAGGGCGAACTGTACAAATACAAATAAATGTGTTTATTTTTCATTTAGGTACAACTTTAGAACTTTAGGACATGCAACTAGGAAAATTTCAATGAGCAGAGGTAGCAAAGAGGGTAACAATGCCTTCACCAAGGTCAGTTTCTTTTTTATATTCTAGGTAAACATCATACATGAATGCTCTGGCCCACTAGTAAATGATATTTGCAGTCAGTAAAATTATTTGTTTAGATATATATGATTACTTCTAATTATTTGGAGTAAAGATAATAAGAGTTACCTTTTACCTATATAATATAAATGCTATCATATGTTATATATATATATATGTTTTTATACAGTATAGTTTTACAAGAGTTTTAGCATTTTAAAAAAAAATTTGTTTTGTTACTTGATGTTTGTGTCTATTTCGTAAATACTTACCTGGATGAACCGATATCTGCCAATTTCCTATTTGGAACTTACTAAAAAATAATGGAATACTGTAGTCCTACCCAATATATATATAAAATGATTATACTATTTAATATAAATGCTATCATATATTATATATATATATATATTCTTTTTATATATAGTTTTACAAATGCTTTCAGTTGTACCATTATATTTGTCAAATTTGATGCTTGTATTCGCAGGAAGACCACCAAAATAAAGAGGCACATGAGTTGAGTTCAAAGTATGCTGAACTAGTTCTTAAGTGTGGGGCCAGCAAAACAACGGCGGACGTCTTAGCAGCAATTTCCCCAAGTGTTCAGGTGTGTATCTTGCCTCAATGGCCAGCTTTATCGTCTCTGTAAAGCTCTGTTATTGAAATTATCACAATTTCTTTGACAAAGACTGATTGTATGCCCATATATAGTCATGATATGCCTATATATGGTCATTATGTGATGTAATCGTGACCATATTTAGGCATGTCACATGTTTTTGTCAAATAAAATTTGATAGTCTACACAGGGCTTTATAGCAGACATTTGGTATTATAGCTGTCCTCACCAATGTAATTATTTGTTAACTTTTATGTGATCACATGAATAAACTGAATTTATATTGCAACTGTTAATATTAGATTTGCTTCTTTTGGAATCTGTTTACTGGGATCTAGTGTGTTCTGCTTCTGACATATTTTTTATAGAAAGTTTCATCCGGGTTTAATGACCTCCAAATATAGAATATTGGGAAAAGGTATCTATTTCATGAATACAATTTAATAGAGGAACATTATACTTTAGTGTTGCTATACTGTAAGCTGTTGTGACCTTTCTATTATGTTTGATGGGTGTCTTATATAAAACAATAAAGTATTAGCAGTTGTCAGTCAATGTAGGTGACATCATCATCCATGATTTATATATTAATTGCTGTAGTAACTTGTATATTTATTTATTCATGCATTTATTATCCATTAAATTGGTCTAGAAAGTCTAGTAAAAGAATTTCCAGTGGAGTCCTTCTGGTGGTGATTGGGCAGTATACCGGGAGACAATCCTTACTCTTTTTTGGAGAGTGTATAGCGTCCTTTAACGTGCACATGGGCCATCAATGCACACAGGACCAACAGCTTAAACATCTCATCTGAAAGACGGTCCGCTATTGTAACTTGTATTTCAGCCCTCCAGCTGAAACACAAGGAGAGGCAGTGATGGGAATTGAACCGGGGACCTAGAAATTTCCACGGTTCAGCAGCTACCACCAGATTAACTGACCGAGCTAATATAAGTAGCTCTCATAGAAATGTCTAATTGGATTGCCTATGTATTAGGTACTACATTTTTTATAGATTTATATAATCAGACAAGCTTTATTTTTTTTACAGGGTCACTTAAGTTCAAACATTGTGAAAGGTGTTCGCGAGGGCCATCGTAAGGTCGCAGGTCAACTAATTCAACAGTCTCTCAAAGCAGGTGGCATGGGCTTCAACTTTTTACATCAGGAGGTAAATCCATATTATAGTTTATGGTTACCAAAATATTGTGTGGGACAGAGTTATTGCTAGGAATACTAGGATACAGTGCATTTGATCATGAAAATAAAAGCTTTGTGGGTGTGTTTACGCCGCCATAATGACCATTACAAATGCCTGATAGAGCTCTAATAAGAATATTTAAGGCATAAAGAAAGCTGCTGTGAAGATAGTCAAGCGAATCCTCACATGGTAGCGCTATTGCATGAGTGAGCAGACATTTTAAAATGAACGCAATAGCTCCTTGGCATCTAGCTTTGCATTTTGCAAATTATTATAACTCTATGGCCAGATAAAATTAGCAATGAGGTCTAAGTTCAAAGTATCACATGATGAATAAATTGAATAAACTTTTCTGAATTAAGTAGTTTTTTTTTGTGTGTGAACATTAAATGGAACAGTACTCTTGGTTCTGTCTTCAATAGTGAATATATGTATGTAGCTACCAAAAAGACTTAAATAATCAGTTTTAATTCTTACACAAGCCAGTTTAATCCATAGTACAGCTGAGTACTAATCCCCATTTTTTTTCTCTGATCTCTTACAAAGCTGATAATCTCAGAAAATGATAGATTCATACTCTTTGTACTAAAGCTTCAAAAACACATTCATGTTCTATTTAAAGTGTACAGATTCTTTATACTTCCTCACTCCCAACTCCTTTATTACAGAAACTCATTTTCTTCCTCTGAATATTTGGTTCAGCCCCTAATACTATTAAACATGTCAAGTGTAATATTAAGAGAATCAACTCCATGTCCTAGAGTTGCCATAGTTTAATTTTTCTAGGCATTAGTGTACTTATTTAAAAGAAACAAGTATACAGTTTATTTTATATTATTTAAAAGAAGGACCACCCATCCAGCAAAAATTATAACCAAGTATATTTGGTTTCGAGAAAAATTATGATGCTTTTGTCAGGGTTGAACCCAGGTTCTTGAGATTAGAAGGTAAACCCCTGACCACCAAACCACAATTCCACTTCTGCAGTTGTTAATTGACCTCATAAGATATATAGTGGACAATATCTGATGTTTTTGACATAAATGTGTTTTTTTCTTCCAGGTTTTAACCTGTAATAATCCTGATGAGTTGACCAAGTTCAAATCTGTGTCGGTGAAGAAAAAGACTTGGGATAATGATTGTGTAAGCTTACCTTTTTCCCTAAACGCACAGAATCGTTGATGTCTGTGCATTAAACATAGTGTGTCAAAGTTCATTCACTGAAATGGATAGAGATGAAAAGTAATTTTATATGAATTAATATTTCGAAAATAAATGTCTGTAGAGTGTTAAAATTAACCTTGAATAGAATATAGGTAAATGGTATTATTATGTGTATGTTAAGCAATCGCTACATGCTATCGCCGACGACAGCTTTCAGTAAGGCTGATTGGTCCGTTGAATCGGAGAGCCTTCCTTACTGCGTCGGGAACTGCAACGCAGTAAGATTGCACTGAAAACCGGTTGTATAGAAACAAGCTTTACTTGGCCAGAAAAAATTTAATCTTTAAGTGACTTCTTATGTAGGCTTTGGTTTGCATATGTGATGAGACATATCAGATATTTTTTCCATATTTTACTTCTAAGAGTATATTTCTCTTGAAAAAAGTCATTTAGATAAATTTGTCATAGAAAGTGGATTTAGCTTGTGATTATTTTTGTTGATTGAATGATTGATTGATAAATGAATTGATGGATTAAATTATTTGTTGAATTTTTCTTTCACTCAAGATCACTCCATTGCACTGTGCAGCCATCAACCCAAACCCAAAGATTCTTGCAAAGTTACTGGACAGCCTGCCAGAATACAGCCTTCCAGATAAGAAAAATATGAAGCCCATCCACTATGCAGCAGCATGCGAGGGCTCTGGACCACTTGAACTCCTGCTCAACAAGTAAGAACTACTTAGGCCTAGCTTTTGACAACCATCTACAAAGTAAATTTTATGGTCAAATAATTCATGTACCTTGTTCATTTGACTAAAAAAAAAAAATTCTAGTACAAAAAACCCTGCATAACAAATGTTAATTATTTTAAAATAAATATTTAATGGAATTAATTAATCCAGCGTAATCATGAGAGCATGAAATTTGAATATCTTTCACTTCCAGATCTGTCAACCCAGAAGAGACTGACAACCAAGGGAACACACCCCTAATGGTTGCTGCACGGACTGGTCGTACTCAGAATATTGAAATACTGATGCGGAAAATCAAAGCAAGTATGTGCAAGAAATGATCTTTATATTAATATAAATTAATAGTTGTTATGTGTTTTAATGTGAATAATGATTGTTAGTGTATTGTGTGAAAAATTACTGGATAAACCAAACTGTCTTGTTCCCGTAATTCTGGACACCTCCCTCCCCCTCCCCCTCCCAAAGCGCTGCATGAGCAACCCATCTCCCAAACAGTCCACATTACATATTGTCGAATAAGCTTCTTCATTGGTTTAAAGCTTTGTCTGATTCAATCATGCTGTTAACATCACTAAAACATACATAATTGATTAGAAATTGTGATTGGTTAAATAATTTTATATTTATTGTTTTAATATTATAACATTAGTAATGATGATGATAAAAATAATGTTGATAATAATAACAAAAATAATAATATTATTCTTCTATTTACAGACAATCCAGGGGAGAAAACTGGTTTAAACAGGAGAGGTCCTGCAGGCAAGACCCCCTTACACTTTGCAGCAGAAAATGGACACACAGTAAGTTAACGTAGTGTTGACAATCAGTTAAGTGATTATTGTACAATATAATGCAATAATCATTATAATAATGAATCATTACTATCATATTATTTAATATTTAATAATTGAATAATATATAATCATGTTATATTAGAGTTGGTATTTTTTTTTTACAATAATTTTTTTATATATATCTTTAGGATGCTGTAAAAGCATTGCACAAACATGGTGCGGACATTGAAGCCATTCTCAACGCTGGCCATAACAAAGAAACAGCCCTCATACTGGTCTGCAAGAATGGTCACTTTGCAACGGCCAAAGCATTGATTGAATTAAATGCCATCATTGAGAAAAAAGGTATGCAAACATTTCTATAGCTTATTAGAAGATTAGATAATGTTGGTCTCTCATTGCAAAAAATGTTAAAAAGTTCAAAATTTATAGGATGTAAATTACAAAGCTTATCTTATTTTTTAAACAGGTAAATTTTAGAAAAAGAAATTTTAACAAGAAAAACATTTTCTGCTAAGGGAGTTTGAGCTCCTGTATCACATGTGCCATATTTTATGTCCAGCCTGTGTTACTAACTGAAAAAGACATGCCATTGGCACCCAGGGATGTAATTATGATGGGTTTCCACCCAGTCTAAAGCTAAATTTCATGGCCCTCTACCCACCTTTATTAATCCCCATGTTCATCCTTAAAATCCACTCATATTATTTAATGTTTACCAATGTTACCACCCGCCCTTAAAATGTCTACTACTAACCCTTAGTTTTCTAAGGCTACAACCCTGACTACCTGACTTTTAATCAGTGATTGCTGAGATCAGTTGACTTTAAGTGTATAATTTAATATCATTTTAAAGTAATCCAGACCCATTAAAAAAAAAATATAGTACACTTTAAAACAGTGGTTCTCTGCATTTATATTTGATAGCCCTGTGTGTGAAAATTTGAATTAAGGGTCCTGACTATTAAATTTTATTTGACAAAAACATTCCTAAATATGGTCACATCATGACCATATATAGGTACATCGTGACTATATATGGGCATACAATAGTGTTTGATAAAAATTTGATAATGTGAACAGAGCTTTATATTATTGTATTGATCATGTGCCTATAACTCATATATAAATCTCCATCTTTCTGCAGATAAATTGCAGAGGACAGCTCTGATGCATGCTGTTATAAATGGCCACTACAAGATAGTTTGTTTCTTGTTGAGGAAGGGGGCGAACCCCAATGCAAAGGATTCCTCCGGGAATACAATGGTACACTATGCAGCAGCATACGGTTGGTGGTATTGTTTACGCGTGCTGCTAAAAGCTGGGGGAAGCCCCAACACGCCCAATGACTGGAAGGTTTGTTATGCATTTATTTTCAATGTTTTGTGTTTATGATTTTTTTTTTTTTTTGGGTGGATATTTTGACATTCATATTTATGTTATTTGCTATTATTTTAGTATTGATGATTGTCTTCTTGTTAATATTATTTTGTTGTAATTTTGCTTTTGTATTTCTGTTGTTATTGTTTTTTTATTATTACAAAAACAAATCATGATTGTTATCAATACCTTAGGCATAGCAGCTGTTCTAGCTGTTGATCACCAGAAAACAACCCTCTGTCTACACTGCATTGTCAAGCAACAAAGGTTATTTGACCCCTTCTATCATTTATATATGTCCCCTCTGCTCTTGTAGATCCCTCCTCTAGGTATTGCTATTATGACTGGCAACCGAGGATGTGCTGACCTTCTGATGGAGCAAGACGATATGGACATCAATTTCAAAGATGACAATGGCTTTACCATAGTTACCTACCTGGTAAAGTCATCACTTAGTAGCAGCATGTTAGAGGAGTTAAAACACCTTGTGGAGGATTTGAAAGCAAGGGTTGACATGACGGATGTCAACGGGTGGACGGCTGTAAGTTACTCAGTAGTGTTTCTTTAATGTACTGACGAGCACCATTTTTTAAACATTTTTAATCAGAGCTAGGCGTATTTGATTTAGACTGCATAATTGTATATGAAAAGTCAATAATTTTATCTAATGTTTTCTTTATAGCTTCATCACCTCACAGAACAAGATGTAACACCATCATATTACGTAAGTATTAATATCCATATTTTCATAATTTAATTAGAAAATCACCTGAAAATTACACAAACTGGACAATAACGATAGGATAGGAAAATATTGTTGGAGGTAAATTTGATGATATCACAGTTAAAAGTTAAACAAGATACTGGATAAAATTAAATGAGAATTTCTACAACATTTTATTTTCGCAGGATCAGGCAAATAATGCTCGAAGTAAAAAGGAAATTAGTATAGAGCTTGCAGAGACTCTTCTCAAATATGGCTGCCCGTTGTCAGCTAAAACTGATGACGGAAAGACAGCAGTCAATCTGGCTGTAGAACAGGTAAGTTTGCTGTAGATTCTTAGTCAAAACCAAATGTCCATTCCAGAACACACTTCTCAAAAATATTGGAATTGCCCTTCTAGGCACACTGTATACAAATACCTTTTTTTATTATATTTTGTTGTTGTTATTTATATTTTTGATTATTTTGATAATTTAAAAATTATGTCTATATCAATTCATTTTTTCAACCTTTTTATATTGTAAACATATTTAGCTGTTAGGCTAAAATTTTGCCATAGTTATACCAGAATATATAGGTAAAATTATTATTGTTATTATGATTATGATGATATTCTTGTTGCTGTTATTGTTAATGGTATTATTTTTGTTATTGATAATTAATGTTATTAGGATTATTATGATGTTCTTGTTATTGTTTTTATTATTAATGTTGCTTTATTAATATTACCAGGAAAACTGCAACACAGAGCTGATTGAACTGTTAGTGAAGAAAGGCTGCCCCATCTCACTAAGCACCAGCAAGGAAGAGAACATTCTACATACAATGGTTGAACGATGTAAACAAAATAACCTAGCAGGTCTGATCAAACTTTTTGGAGACAGGGTAAGAGACATCCCTAAATATGGTCATGATGACATCACATCATGACCATCTACATAGGTACCTCATGACTATATATGGGAACATCATGACTATATATGGGCATACAACAGTTTTTGTCAAAAGAAAATTTGAAAGTCTGGAGAGAGCTTACAATGGAATTGAAAACAGTACATGAAAATCTAGAAAAAGTCATAAAAAACTTGGAAAAGTAATACAAAGACAGTAATGCAAAACTGGGGAATCTGTTTAGGCTTCTTGTGCAGTTGCATATAGATGTACTTGCTGTGGGTTTTGTATGCAATGTGGTTGCTAGCACTTTGCATCTGAGAAGAAAGGTGCTATACAAATAACTCAAGAATGAATGAATAAATTAATTAAATTAAATTAATTAATTAATTAATTAATTAATAAAAACCATTGAAATCTGGGGAAGTCATGAAAATTCAGAAATCATGAAGACTAACCGTTATATATCATTCCTGTTGTTTTTTTTACAGTTACAGAATAGTTCCGAGGACATCACAGATGGTGATGGCGGAGATAGCAATGATGGTGCTAGCATTAAGTCCCTTGCCCAACAGACTGACAAAAATGGCCTTACCCCCCTCAACAAATGCATATACCAATACTGCAATACCTGTGGCAGACACTCAGAGGTAGTAATTACCATTTTTGTTGTTTTTTTCAGTTTTATTTCTTTTTTAATTATTGTGGAGGCACTTGTTTATTAAACACAAAAGATGAAATTATCATCAAGGTTAAAAGCAAAACATATATATATATATAT